TGGCTGTGGATATTCATAGCTATCTTGGTATCGAAAGCCTTTTTTATGTCGCCCAGTCGTTGTTTGTGTTTGTGACAATTGTAGTGGTGAATGATATTCCTCATGAGAAACAGATGAGCTGATGGTAAAGCCATGTTTAAGAAGTAATTTTTGCAAACAGCTGTTGCTGTTGACTATTCCAGCAAGTTGCGGGACCAGGCCAAGCTTCTGCAGGGCATCACGGGCATCCTTTGTGTTATCTTCATGGAAACGATCATACAGAGCATAATGCTCTGCTGAACCAGTTATGGGATGGCCATCACAGTCTGGGACCACTTTCTTGCAATTCAACCAAGTAAGTGACACATTTAGTTTCCCATCTTTGGCTAGTGCTGTTTTCTGGAGTTGGGGCCTTTAACCGTCCTTCAAATGGTTTGAAGGGCAACCTTTCTGGTTCTCTCAGATTCATGTGTGTTGCTAGTCCACGTGCAGAGTCATATATTACAATATTTGGCATGTATTTCCAAGAAAGGAGCATGTCTGTGAAGTCACGTGGGCTTTCAGCTCTAATGTTGCACTTTAAACTGTATACAATGCCACACGGGCACATAATCACAGCCCCAACCACCTGAAATGGAAAGAGGCAGAAATGAACAGATTGTAAAAAGACAACCTTTGTTTATCCAACTAAAAAGTTTTTCATCCTCACTGATATGTGTATGTGAAATCACTCCACTTGGAGTAACACCACTTGAAGTTATGGAAGAGTCATGGGCTAATATGGCTATATGCATTCAAGACTATTTAGAAAATCACGATCACTTCGGCTACGTTAACTTTCCAATGAAATGCATCACAATTGTTTTTAATGTTAAACAAATAAAAATTGATTCACATTTGATACTCACACTCTGATTGTCATCCATCTTCGCTGGTCCTCTAATTCGGTAGGTGGCGTTGTCACTAAAAACCTAGGGTACTAGAAAATGCAGAAAATTGTAATGACCCCATACATTTGAATGGTACTTTAAATATAATAACAGTCCTCATTATAAACACAAAATAATAATCAACTTTAATAGTCAGTGAAGACAATTAGACTACTTTTTATTTGATTGCAGGCGGTGAGGGACCTGGATAATGGGATTAAAGGTTGAGATCCACTGGTCTAAATCCTGACTGGAAATCCTCACAAATACCATTTCTCTCTTAGAAAGAACATAGCTGAGAGAAAGGGAGATTTGAGATCGGTCTGTAATTCTCTAGGATCAGTTTTTGTTTTTTTAATGAGAGGCTTAGTAACGGCCAGTTTGAAGGATTTTGGGACATATCCTAATGACACTGACAAATTAATAATATTCAGAAGAGGATCTATAACTTCTAACATACATGTTGTAGGTTTTGATGATTTGACAAATTTATACAATTCTTCCTCTCCTTTAACAGAGAATGAGTGGAATTTTTCCTCAGGGGATCTCTGGTGCGATACTGTAGCTGACAGCTGCATGGTTCGAATTTTGCTTCTAAAAAATATAGATCTTGGAAGAAGTTCATAAAGTAATTTACTACTGTGCTGCTGGTGAATGTCTGTGTCTGTTGATGCTTTATTTTTCATTAATTTAACCTTTGCATTGAATAAATGCATGGGGTTATGTTGGTTTTCTTCTACACTCTTAAAAATAAAGGTGCTTCAAAAGGTTCTTCAAGCGATGCCATAGAAGAACCATTTTTGGTTCCACAAAGAACCATTCAGTCAAAGGTTCTTTAAAGAACCATCTCTTTCTTGCGTTTTTGTAATCTGAAGAACCTTCTTTCGCCACAAAGAACCTTTTGTGAAACAGAAAGGTTCTTCAGATGTTAAAGGTTCTTTATGGAACCATTTAGACAAAAAGGTTCTTCTATGGCATCGTGAAGCACCTTTATTTTTAAGAGTGTAAGAGAGATGAAAAGTAAGCAGATCTAGCAGTTTTTAGAGCTTTTCTATAAGTAGAAGTACTTTTCCGCCATGCAATACGAAATACCTCTTGTTTTCTATCAGCTGTGCTCCATTTTCAGGCTGCTCTCTTTGAGACGTGAATGTGCTTGTTATACAACAGTGTCAGACTGTTTTCTTTTTCATCTTCTTTAAGCGTAAAGGAGCAACCATATCTAAAGTGCTAGAAAAGAGAGAGTTTATAGTTTCTGTTACAACATAAAGTTTTTCTGAGCTATTGGATTTACTGAGGAATTGAGACAAATCGGGAAGATTATTTACAAAGCAGTCTGAAGCTGTGTCCGAAATCGCTCACTCGTTCACTCATTCACTAATCCCTATATAGTGTATGGCAGTTGAGTGCACTATATCAGAAAGGAGTTAAATAAGTGAACGGATTCGGACGGTGACGTTTACACTGCGCCTGAGACTTGGAGCTGTTGCAAAAACATCGTCACATATGTAGCCTTCCTTATTTTAGAAAATAATAGTAATAGCAATAACACTCAAAATGACTTTATATTGTAATTATACATACCTCCTCGTCAGCTTTGTGGTTTCATCGATGGTAGCTATATTATTAATTTGTTTTGCTTTTTATATGTTCATAATAATTAAATACTATTAAACTACTGAGAACAAAAATAAACTCACATTAACACGTTCATAATTTTATGTATTTATTATTTTTAGTATCTTTGACACTCTCCCAAGCAGCATTTTGAGCTCAAATATGAGCTATATAAAAATATATTATTTTTATTTTACTGGCCTTTTCAGCGCCGCATTTGCTCTTTCTATTATAAATTTTTTAATCTATTATTTTTTGCTCGCATATCTCCAACAAAATATTTGTAGGCCCATGTACCATAATGTCTGCCTGCAGTTAAAAAGTTCTCAGAAATAATCACATTTGTTTTGCTTAACCTATATTCTAAATAGAATTTTAATGTCATACAAAAAAAAAAGTAATCGGCCTGAGTAAATTGTACCATTATAAAATCGTGACTGCACAAGTAGTGTAGTAATTTAGGAGGTGAAAATACTGTGAAATTACATACATACAAATGGCAAGAAATTTGAAAGCATAACAACTGAACGTTTATGACATGTCTAGGCACTTAAATTTTTTTAACTAAAATATAGATTATTGCAACCATATAGCCTATGAATGAAAATGCATATTTTTCAATTAAAGAAAACTTGTGGGCTGAGTGTAGGCTGCTTCTGGTGCTTGGATTTCTACTTCAGTAAAATTAGGTCCAAGTTTAACAATGCGCTAGAAGTTAATTGTATTTTTAAAAATACATTTTCCTCTCTATTTAACAGCCTTAACTTACAATAGTGAAAGACGTCTCCCCTCAGGTAGATTAAATGTTTTCCTGCCTTAATAATAGGAATAATAATTTTCCCGGTGCTCCCGATAAGCCAATCCGGGCCTGCATGCCAGACAAAGCCTTGATTAGGTCTATATTCTCTGGGCAAAGTCTCGCAATGTCACCAGCCTTGCCACATGTGTAGTGTGGTAGAAATTCCCCTACGCACCTGACTTAAGTTAACCAGCTGTCTCCCGACACCAAAATTATCCTCAGGTGACTTCTCTGACCGCACAGGCCTTAGACAATTCTGATAAGAATTACAGCTATCCGCACTGGGCAACCAGGCCTTAGACCAATGGTGTCAAACTCCTTCCTGGAGGGCCACAGCTCTGCAGAGTTTAGCTCTAACCAGCTGCAACTCACACCTGCTTGGAAGTTTTGAAAACCTTGATAAGCTGGATCAGGTGTGTATGATTAGTGTTGGAGCAAAACTGTACAGAGTTGTGGCCCTCCAGGAATTGAGTTTCAGACCACTGCCTTTAGACAGTTCAGTTAAGAATTACAGCTACCCGACGCCTAAGAATCTCACTCTGAGTCAGACGACGTCTTGCCCCCTAAGAACACTCTCACTCGGGACTAAGATCTCTAGTGTTCCACTACACCAGTAACAGACACACTCCAGACAATGCCTTTGAATATGCTTTAAACACAAAAAAAATGTTAGTTATGATTAATTAAAAACTTTACTCTTCTGAATTTCCTTGGTCTGTGATGTAAACCATTAGATAATCTAGAACATTCTATCCAACCAAAGGCAGAACTGGATAGCTAGATTCTGCAGCTTTCATTTGACTATTTGCATTAAAATCCTGTGTTATTTTGAAAATGTTATTTTGGATTTGTATATTATGAAAACTTGCTTAAAATTTACTCACCCTCGGGCCATCCAAGATAAGAATCCAAAGTAATTCGGCAGCAGCATCTCTACAGCGAAACTGTAAGTATCTCTGCTTCAAGAACAGTGATTTTTAATTTTAAAAACCATCACAGTGAAAAAGTCCATACCCTGTTGTCCTGTGACATCAAAATTCACTGACATATTTGTTTCAAATGGATCTGAACTGTTTTTGCTTTTAAACAGTGCTTGATCTGTGCATATTTCTTTCCTGATTCCGACTTTTCACTGGAGAAAGCAGTATTATGGATACAGGACTCGCCCTGGGCCCTGCCTTATTTTGTGATAAATCGGAATAAAAAATTCGAAACTTAAAAAAAATCAGTCTAAATTGAACTAAGATCACCAGAGGGTTAAGGACAGAAGGAACTCCATTCATAATACCAAATAAGGCAAATCTAAGACTACAGTGTGTATTAATTCACTTGCACAACACTGTGTGAAGTGTTAAATAAACAAAAACACAAACACCCCCTGGTTCAGAGTCATTTTATTCATGTATGCAGAACATACGCATAAAATAATTCACTTTAGTAAGCATTAACATATTTTCCTCAAGAAAAATAAAAATGACTACATTCCAGAGTATAAATCACTAAATAACATGGAGTGCGGCTGTGGATGTCCTTATTTTATTCTGTTATCACTTGAGTAAAGCTATCACTCTTTACGCTGCTGTTAATGGGAAATATACGTTTCTTATTTGCCTGTTTCTGTGGCACAATTGCATATAGCAACTACAGAACAAAGATGTTTCATAACTAGAGCATTTATATTTAGGCACTTCAATCAAAGGCCAAGGTCACTAGCAATAACATTTTAGACTATAACTGGCAAGTCAAATGCACTCTAAAATGAAAGCAACAGCATAAAAATGTCTTTGAGGTCCTACAAAGGATGAAGAACACAAACATGAATAAAAAACATTCCCTTGGTTACAGAAATAAAAAGATGCATTACAATTCCTTTACTGTAAATATTAACAGAGTATTGACTCTACACAGAAAAGAAGACATTCAATATCCACATAACAAGAATAAAGACATATTATCTTTAATTTAAAGTGACTGGAGAAATATAGCAGAATAAAATAATGCAACAGAAAGTCTTGTCAACATTGTCAATATTTCCCAACAGACAGATGAGCTATACAGGAAAAAGCAGATCAGAAAGTACATAGAAAGGAAATACTGCAAAGGGATTTCAAGTCAAGTAATGACTGGCAACCCTACATACAAGTAAAAAATTCCATGGTTCAAACAATAAATGCATTATCTGTTTGTTTTGACCATTATGGCCGATGAAATATGGCCAAATAAACATTCATTTGGCTCATTCAATAACAAACAGTAATGGAATATGCACAGAATGAACAGAACACCCACCTTAAGTCAAATTAAAATACAAAGATGATATACATTCACAGCATGTAGATTACATTAAATAAAAAAGCAAACAGAATTTAGGTAAAACATTTTAGGATTTGGAATGAGATCTATCATCTAATTGTCCATTCCATCGAGGAACTCTCCTTCAATGATGTGCTCTAGGCGTTTCATGACCTGATCACTGCTGGACGGCGGGTAGTCAGCGACATAATGTGGGAGGTGCACAGAGGAGCCATTAAAAGAGCAGCAGAGGGTGCTGAAGAACGGCACGAGATCCACAACAGAACAGAGGGAACGTAGTGTGAGCAGAGGAAACTTCACTCGATCCGTGTTTGACTCTCCCGCTGTTCCATTCAGCTGCTAAACACACATTCAGGATATTTATAGACTGAGAATTAGGTCTATTTGTGACAAACCACCAACTTTTCTGGTTAAGAGGTGCTCTTTCACAGATACATTAGAGCATGTGTTCCTGTGCATGGAGATCTTACCCCATAGCGTCGGTTTATTCCATCCAGTATCCTAACAATATGAGGTTTACACTCTTGTTCCCCTTCTAGCAGAGTGTTTCCTGGTCCATCATAATGGTCAACATCTACTTCAGGAATGAAAGCCCAGCGATACCTGCATAAAAATAAATAAATGGTCAGTCTTTAACAGATCATGAACAGTGAATTTTACGGTGTCTAAGATCTGCAGATCAGAGGTAATTTATGTTGTGTCAGGCATGAAAGGTCACCTAGATGTAAGAGGGAATCCATTGTTCTTTTACTGACAGCTGCCAATGTTGGGGCAATCATGGCAGTCCACTTAGGTTAAAAAGGTCAAAAGACCCAATAAGGAGTTACCCATGAGCTGTTATATTAATAGAAGATGCCAGTACTTTAAATAAAAGTTCTTTGTGAGTTTAGGTGCATAAGGAAAAGAAATAAAGAAATCTTGTTCATTAAAAAATGAAATTTCTCACATGATTTTTCCTTCTGTGGAACACAAATGAACATATTTTGCAGAATGTCTAAGCCATATTGTTTTCTATGCAATGAAAGTGGATTATAATCACTGATCTATAATATCACTGCTTGCTGGCAGTTTAGAATTCTGTGAGCAATCCAGTCATGCATAGATCAGTGGTTGTCATTTTTTTTATTGCCGAGCTCCACAAAAGAATTAAAGTAGAATAAAATTATGATAAAAATAGTCCACATGAACTGTGCTATATTTCAAGTCTAAGTCAAAGAAGTGTCTTACGCTCACAAAAGCTGCACATATTTGATCAAAAATACTATAAAAACATTAATATGTTGAAATATTATTTCAATTTAAAACATTTTAAAATGTAATTTATTCCTGTGATGCTAAGTTGAATTTTCAGCAGCTCCAGTCTTCAGTGTCACATGATCCCTCAGAAATCATTCTAATATGCTGATTTGGAGCTCAAGAAACATTTCCTATTATCATTATCAATATTAAAAACAGATGTGCTGCTTGATATTTTTATGAAAGCCATGATACTTTTTTCATTTCAGGATTATTTGATGAATAGAAAGTTCAAAAGAACAGCATTTATTTCAAACTGAATTTTTTCAAACAAAGTTTTAAATGTCTTCACTGTCACTTGCGATCAATTTAATTCATCCTTGCTGAGTGAAAGTATTAATTTCTATAAAAATCTTACTGACCCCCAAAACTTTTGAACAGTAGTTTGTTTTCTCATGTGCCCATTAGAGAATGTCCAACCACTGCTTCTGTTTTTTTTTAAAGTTTTGACTAAAATTTGTCAATTCATCATTTTTTTTCTTATCATTTATCACTGATATGGCAAGAGTAAATGGTGACACACATGCACACAATTCACACAAACAGTTAATTGGAGTCTCACATTTGAAACAGAGGCATGTGCTCAGGTGGGAAGGACACAGCGGTGTCCAGGAACTTGCAGGCTGACAGGTACATGTCCAGCTCTGCCTGAGGGAAGAGCAGACCATTCTTGTCATGGCCACCCCGCAATTTACTCCTGAAACAGAAAGATTTTTTGTTTTAAATAAAGGGACATAATATATACTAACAGCATTTTTCATAAAGGAAGACTCACTTTGAAACTTCTTTATCATCCAGCAATGTCTTCTCAAGGCGGTTAAAAATGCGCATCTGAAATATTCAACATAAATATTCAAACTGCACACAACTAAAGTAGAAAGAATATTCAAAACAACTGATGAAGCATTTGAACACAATCAAAGAACAAATACTCTGAAGAGAAGAGAGGACCGCAGGCGTATTTCTTACCAGTTCAGTGACCATGATTGGCCAGAGAGAGGTGAGATGTTGCGGTGAGATCCTTAACAGGAGAACACGAAACATGAGGAACATCTGAGCTGACACTGATGGGGTCTGTCCCACACGCAGGTTCTCTGTTAGACGCTCTAGAATATATTCGGCAAAGTAAGTGTTAGCTGGGCACTTTCCTATTCTACATTACTAAACAATATTTCAAGTAACCTATATTTGTTTTCCACACAGACTGAGTGATACCTTGTATGAGAGGCAAATAGAAGTGGTACTGGTCATTCTCTCCGCTAAACATGGCAAAAGCCTGTCTTTTTAGTAACATAGGCTTCTGCTCAGCGCTATTGAAGAGCTTCAAAGAGTTGCTCTGCATGCCTGCATATGGTACAACATGAACACACACAATACAAGTCAATACACTGATCATACAACAAATAACCAAAGCAAAAGTATGTACAGATACTCACTCATCAAGTCTTTGAACATTGTCTTCTCATGAGTCAGAAGATGGTCTATGATGGATCTCCAACTAAAGGACAATATCTGAGTTTAGTGTCTTTGACTATTTTAGTGAAATTATTGATTTATATACTGTACACTGTACTGGTCAAAATGGTGAAATAAGAACATAATGTTGTTTAATAGCTGCATTTAAAGCAGCTATTAAACAAAAATACAGTTAATATTGGCAAATATTATTAACCTTTAATATAAGTGTTTTTTTTATTTTAATATAGTTTAAAATAAAAGCTGAATTTTCAGCAGCCATTTCTCCAGTGTCACCGGATCCTTCAGAAATCATTCTAATATGCTGATTTGGTGCTCAAGAAACATCTCTTATTATTATCAATGTTGAAAACAGTTTTTGCTACTTAATATTTTTGTGGAAACCGTGATAAACCATCAAAGGTTTGGGGTAAGTTAGATTAAAAAATAAAAAATAAACAGTATTGACTATTTTTATTCAGCAAGGACGCATTAAATTGAATAAAAGTGACAGTAAAGATATTTATAATTTTACTAAAGATTTCCGTTTCAAATAAATGCGGTTCTTTTAACATTTCTATTAATCAAATAATCCTGAGAAACTATTTATTAAGCTTTCCACAAAAATATTTAACAGCAAAAACTATTTTAACATAGATAATAATTAGAACCATCATTAATAATTGAGTACCCATAATAATTGAGCACCAAATCAGCATATTAAAATGATTCTGTGAAAGGAGTAATGGCTGCTGAAAATTCAGCTTTGCCATTACAGGAATAAATTACATTTTAAAATATATTAAAATAGAAAACAATTGTAATACTATTTCACAATATTGCTGTTTTACTGTGTATTTGATCAAATAAATGCAGCCTTGGTGAACATTTGACTGGTAATGTAAATAGGCCAGGCAAATTATCTGACCAATATTGTAGCATTTTGACATTATCGGCATGCCTCAAAAATTTGGAGTGTTGTGTAAGTGTCCATCTTACTGGCAGGAACACGAGGACTCCATTGTGAAAAACATTGGGTCCATGAATAGTTCCAGCACCTCTTTCTTCCACGCTCGCTTAGTGTAGGCATATCCACTCAGATTGCTCAACAACTGAGCACCCGCACAGAAACTAGGCATGTTATAGGCACTGAGAGATAGAAAGATAGAAATTGAGAAACAGTTATTGAAACATCAAAAATGAGTAGCAGTTGAAAATGAAAACTGCCATATACTGTATATGTATACATACAACCATACCATATAACAATAAATAGACCAAGTATTTGAATTAAATACTAATCAGTATTTATCATGACCACAAGCATATTTTCAACTGAAGTGCATCTTTGGCATACGCACCTATGATTTTTTAGATAGGGAAAAACATAATACATGAGTCGGGAAATGAGAGGCACGGCTTTCTCCTTCTCATCACTGCGATAGACCATGTCCAAAAGAGGAGCCAGGACCTACAAACAATGAGCACAAGTGGAAACACAGTTCATCTGTTGCATCTTGTTACCTGTCTATTTTTTTAAGTCAGCATAAATTAAATTCAGTACAACAAATACTGCCATGTGTACATTGCGCTTCGATTTTTTAAAATTATAATTAGATTTTTTTTCCATTATTGCTACAAGTTCTTAAGCATATGCGACCATTGAGTTTGAATCTTGAGTGTGTGTGTGTGTGTGTGTGTTTCTTACCTCAGCCAGCAGAACAAGAGCTTGTACGCTGAATACAGATGGTGCTGAAGATGACACCATAGCGCTGCCCTGACCTGCACACTCTGAGAGAAAGACAGAACAGTATCCATTTTTTAAAATTATAATTAGATTTTTTTCCCATTATTGCTACAAGTTCTTAAGCATATGCGACCATTGAGTTTGAATCTTGAGTGTGTGTGTGTGTGTGTGTGTGTGTTTCTTACCTCAGCCAGCAGAACAAGAGCTTGTACGCTGAATACAGATGGTGCTGAAGATGACACCATAGCGCTGCCCTGACCTGCACACTCTGAGAGAAAGACAGAACAGTATCCATTTTAAAATTGCCTCCGCTTCCAGTAGGCATTATTATTATCAGATTATGACTGCAATACAACAATGGGCATTCTACTAAAAGCATATGTCTTTCAGCGTAGGTTTACCCTCTAACTCATTGCCATCATGGTCATCTTCATCTCCCTGAAGACAGACTTGAGGCTGTGCTTTCACTTCCAGGTTACGACTCAGCCAGCTAGTCTGCTCAAGAGACGAGCCGGCCACAGCTCCCACCGCTTCTAGTATGCGCTGGCTCACTTCCTGTTGAAGGTACGATTACTATGTACTTTAATAGGTTTTAATAGGTAAATTTTTAGTTTTCACTTTCTATATCAACAAAATACTGGTTTTGCTGTCACTCGCTGTACCGGTCTTACCTGCAGTTCTTTAGTATCCCTCTTGTTGTCGATATTGGGAAGTCTATTTACACAGTCATCAAGGATACTGCAACAGCAAAATAAACAGTGAGATTAGAGTATCAAAAGACATTTTACCTTTCAATAACAACTGTTTCATGTAATTAATAAGAGATCTCTATAAGAGTCACTGCCTTCTTGAAATGTTGGATCAAACAACTAGGCGGTTTCATACTGATCTATTTGCACTGGCACCAAAGGTGCAGGACAAGTTATGCACCAGAGGTTAATATTTAGAGTAAGGGTTTGATCACATCTCTAACCCCAAGTATGAGAAATTGTAATAGTGGCCACATTATTTTATTTACCCGAGGAGCAAGAAGTGTCCAGGAGGGGTGAGGTTAAGCTGGACAGATTCTCTGAGCAGAGAGAGGAGAGGATTGATGCTCTCCTGAAGAGCTTGAGCGGTGAGACTGTAAAAAAGACCATTCAAGACATTTCCATTATCATTCCACTAAAAACATTAACCTTTCATTGAACAGAAACTAGCATCAACTTTAGCCACTGGCATGAATTGGATTGCAACAGTTCACTGGACTTTGGTTGTTTTAAAGTAAATTACATTGTATGATAGCAAGTAAATAAGAGAATGATGTCAATTGAAACAGTTACCTTTGAATGTAAACATAGCTGAACTGTAGCACTGGAATGTCAACTAATGTAGTCTTCTGATAATGAGAAAGAGAGTGAACATTAATACATGATGTAAATGTCTGTGTATGTACCATTTTTTTCAAATTGTAAAAATGCCAAAGTTTTTTTCTTAGGGTTAAAATATAGTCTTTTTTAATTAGCTTTATATAAAAACAACAGATGGTTTATATGGAATGTCACCATTTAGATAGCTACGTAAATGTGTGTATGCAGTACCTGGTCTCCTCTGATCTGATGGGGTTTCTTCACCACCTCTCTAATGAGCTGCAGTATGGTGTCTGTACGGAGTGTGTTTAGTGCCTTCACTAGGTCCACCAAGGTCATTTGAGAATCACTAGCATCTGGTAAAATCTATGTATGCATACACAACAAACATACACAACATTTTAAAACGTAATTCCAGATGCTATTGGATGATGCCATTTTTGCATTATGATTTCTATTGTTCACCTTGTTTCCGGAACGTCTTTTGCGACTCTTCCTGCTACTCCATACAGCGGCCACAGAGGTCATGACCTGCACCCCAAACTGCTGAGTTAGTGGCATTAAGAACTCCAGAACCTTTTGCCTCAAGATCTACAGAGAACAAAAACACATGACCACTAAGCGGACAACAAGACAGCATCATCTTTAAGTAAACTAAATTGTTTTTGTTTACTTCAAGCATCAGATATACCTTTGTGCCTTTAAAATACACAGAGGTGGGTGAGGCTCTGCTGCCATGGGTGGAGTCACAGCCCTTGACCACTCCCCAGAGTAAGGCCATGCTGCTAATCATGTGTGGAAACTCCTCCAGAATGGCATTGCTAGCATTTCGTAGGTCTGGAACGTCACAGGCTGCAGCTGTCTACAAAACAAACAAAACCCCCAAAACAATTATATTATAACATAAGTCATATTAGTGCTCTGAAGATTTTGAAGACCAACATGTTCAGTGGCAATCCTGGCGTTTTGATGCCCATGACAAGATCAGACTTGCTTGCAACTACAGCTGTAGGTCAGTGGATGTACATAAGCAAAAGGTGAGTATTTGGTTGAATTTTAAGATATGATTCGTTCACACTGACAGCGATACAATTTTGCAAATAAACCCACAATGCTATACACTTACTAGAAACCTACAATACAGTGACTTTGTCAGTGTGAACGGATCTTGAGAGCTATGTATGGTGGATGACACAACAGGAATTTGGATCCCTAAGTGAATGTGCATGTCACCTATGCCAGGATCCACCACTATTTTCTTCAGCAGGTGATTGTATGTCTTACTTTCCTGTGGTCTAGAAGACAGTAGTGTGTGATAGTGGTCAGTCCTTCCAGTAGTGTCAGAGGATAGTCAGGTGCTATGTTCTCCCTCTTTAAGGTACCACTAAAGAAAACCACAAAATATGCACCCATTTCAAGCTATGGTTGCAATAAAACGATGAGTATTTATTGATAACTTATTAAACACTTCATGTGCACCCACTCTCACACAAACGCAAACAACCACACACATAACTTACTTGTGTGAAGCTTTGATTCCATCATGCTCATGCTGTTTAACAAGCTCGTCCAGGTTCCTGCAGATCTGGGCAATTATGGGTGATACAATAATGGCCAGTGATCGTCCTAAATACGGCAACACTTCACATAGCAGAGTCACCCAGGCTGGGTGCATGGCACAGCCATACTGAGGGTGCAAAGCTCGGGCTGCTGCGGACACAAACATGCCCTGAGCGGTGATAGGCTGGCTGGGTACATAACGCACTGCTTTGATGGACTGCTGGAACATCACAGCTGTTTGCCACTCTCGAGCCAAGGCTGAAGGATCTGCACGTTGCTGTGGGTTAGAATTGCTTTGATCGTGATCTTGTGCTTTGGTGTGTGGTGGACACACATGGTGCTCCAATACAATAAGAACCTTCAGAAGCTTCAGTAGGGCAATCTGAAGAGGGTGCTCAGCCCAGATTCCATCCCGGCCAAAATTGATCAGGCTCTCTTCTGAGATCTCACCTACGTCTCCTCCCTGGTCTTCTTCAGGCAATGTATGCTGGTCTGGCCGATCAGCTCTTTGGCAGACATACATGGAAGCGGAAAGCATCAGAAGGACATACTGTTGCACCTTATAGCCCCAAAGAAGGTTGTGCACCGCCTCCAGGCTAGCAGTTCCCTTTGCTTCTCCGATTTGAGCTTGCTGGGCAACCCACACCAACTGGATCATCAACTCTGTCAGCACCTCCACGCTCTTCACCTGGACCTCCCGATTGGCCTGGAGTTGGCGAGTGGGAATGCTAGCATAAGAGGGATAGTGAGAGCGGAGATAACGCATGCAAAGGCAGGTGAGTAGCTCTAGCAGAAGAGTTGGTGGAGAAGAAGGAGAAGATGGTGAATGGAGAGGAGAAAATGCTGTTTGGGATGGGTCAGGAGTGGCTCCACTTGGTGGAGTTGAGGTTTGCAATCGCCCATAGAAGCTGCCACCGTCCTGAGCCTGACGGTGCCTCTGCAGAAGGTTCTGGATGAGGTTGAGATGGGCAATGGAGCTGCAGTCCAGAGAAGTACTGGAGAGAGCCTCCACAAATGGCCCTGCACTTGTCCGGAGGATGGTCTCTAAAATAGTGAAGGCATAGAGAATTCGGCTGCTCTCGTACTGCTGCTTATAGAGCAAAACATGGCGGAACAGTGAATCCACTGCCTCACGTTTCTCCCGTTGTCGCTTGAGCAACCGGAACTTGGCTATGGCCTCCAACTGGCCATCGTCTTCATCACTTGAGAGCGAATCCGAAACCTGCGTGCGTTCTGAATCCACCCTCTGCAGGCCGTTGGTAACACCCTCCTCCTCAACGCTACCATCGTCATGATGCTGCAAGTAAGGGACGGCGCTTGAGCTGGAGTTTTCAGTGGAGTTCTGAGTGCCACTGGTGTCTGCAGATTCGGTGTGTTCACTTTCCTCTTCTTCCTCTACTTCTTCATCCTCTCCCTCAGTCTCTTCGCTCTCACTCCGAGACATTGTTGGGGAGTCTGGAGGTGTTAGTTCTGGATCTCGTTCCAACTCTGCCCACAATGCTTCACGGTCTACTATGGTGATGCGCCTGACAAAGCTTTCTCCTGTTTGGCAACCGGGAGTCATGTTGTCTCCAGCACTTTTTGTGATGGATCTGTCTCTCCAGGTCAGTGCCTTTAAATTACCTAAATCACATATACAGTCAAATCAGACGCCAAGAATATAAATATCATCACTTGACATAATTTCCATCATGCCCATTACCTCCATTTCATTTTACATCCATTTCATGTTATTTCCCATGGTCCATACTTAAGCTTTCATGCATTTAACTTTCCATATGCTTACGTGAATATCTCCAGTCATTGCATAATTAAAGCTCAATAATTTACATAACTTTCATCACATATTCACATATGCAGTTCAAACGTCTCTTATGCTCACTAAGGTTACATTTATTTAAACAAAATACAGTAAAACTAATATTGTGAAATATTACTACAATTTTTGATTTTTATATATCTTAAAATGTAAGATATTCCTGTGATGGGATGAGTCTACAGTGTCACATGATCCTTTAGGATTTTTTCTAATATGCTGATTTGCTGCTCAAGAATCATTTCTTATTATTATCAATGTTAAAAACAGGTGTGTTGCTTAACATTTTTTATATACTTTTAGGATATAAATTTTTTTAAATAAATATTCTGCAACATTATAAGTGTTACTTTTGATTAATTTAATGTATCCTTTTTAAATAAAAGTTTTAACTTCTTTAAAAAATATTGTACATAGCAAGAACAAGAATGAACTCTTGCTATTGCTTTCAGTCTTGAACAATATTTGTAAAAGTTACTATGTTGATTATTTTAGATATAATGGTACAATACAGTTCACTTCGTATTATAATCGCTGTACAACAATTTAAACTGAATTTGTATTACTAATTACTGATAGTTTCATTTCAGTATTTATACAGAAGACCTCAAATTTAACTTCCTAACTCAAGCACAGGTACCACTGCATGTTCTGATCTGGTGTGTGTGTGTGTATGTGTGTGTTTTGTTTCCATACCAACAGAGAGATTCTGTTTGACGCTTTGTATTGGTGATCTCTGTGTTCTTGGGTCCAACAGTAAGAGCAGCACCGGTTCCAAGATACGGACCACATCACTGAGGGAGAGAGCCCGCACCAACCAGTTCTGTGCTGCGGCACTAACACTACCATCCTGATTGTTTAAACTATCTAGTACCACAAACAAAGACCTGAGAAAACAGAAATATATAGTTAACAGTGAACACTGAATATGTGTGGCACAAAAATATGGGCGAATATTACTGAAGTATTTAAATTAAGAATAAGAAAAATATATATATGACCTGTCAAAGGAGCGGTTGAGAGATGTGCTGCGATTGGTCTGGATCTCTCGTGTCAGGTGCCACAAAACTGAGAACCTGTGGAGCGCCTCTAGACACACAACCTAACACGAATACACATACACATTTTAATAAATGTTTATGAGTGTGTGTAGATGTATTAAATGAGGGAAATACAGTACCTTGTCCCCACTGAGTAAACCCAAGCAGATGATGTCCTCGCAGATAGATGCAGATGGAGCCAAGCAGTGAAGCCGATAGAACAGCTCCACACAGGATACGTGATGCTCTCTACGCTCTGTGTCAAGCAGAGCCCATAAAACCTGAGATACACGCTACAAGAGAAATAAAAAGAGAATTAAAGTGAAGAAAAGAAGTCACATTAAGGAAGTCAGATCACTCTCCATCTTCGTGACACCCCCTGGCAGCTATTTTCTATGTAGACGAGTACAAGTACACAAGAACAACCCAAATTAGCACTAAAATTGTACATAGCATCACAATTTATTTATTTTTTAAGCTCAAATCATGCTAGTCCGGGTAGTCCAGCTAACATACATCCACCTATTCAGGATAGAAGGAAAATAAGTGATGCCTCTATCAAAATGGCAATTAGCTCTTTTAACTAAAATGCAGGACTTCCACTCATTAAAAAAAAAAATCATAAAAATCCATCCGGTCCATTTACTGACCCTTGTAATGTCTCTTGAATTAGCCATTTCTATATCATATTCAATTCACAACAGATAAAGCTATAAGAAATGCCACCGGTAAATCACATTGTGTATTACCAGGTAAAAGTCTGTAGAATCCTCCAGAGTTTTGAGAACAGCTGGGTAGATGGGAGGCAGGGTGACCATTTGCAGCTGTCCGCTGAGTGGGTTCACATCCGAGTTCTTATAACGTTGATTTTTATCCTGAATGACGAGGGCTAAAGACTGAGAGTGATTGATCAGCTCCAGCAAAGAAGAGATGGCAACATGTTGCACCTACAGACACATAAAAAAAATATTTAATATGAAATGATTCAGTTTTGGCAATGCAACCATTAAATCCATTTGTCATTTTTCCAAGACAAAATACTTTGTCCTATCCCAATTCACTGCGCAGAGGCAACTCTAAGTAACCATTCGTAGGCTGACTCTCCTGAAGATTGTAAACCTGTACAACAATTTAAACTGAATTTGTATTACTAATTACTGATAGTTTCATTTCAGTATTTATACAGAAGACCTCAAATTTAACTTCCTAACTCAAGCACAGGTACCACTGCATGTTCTGATCTGGTGTGTGTGTGTGTATGTGTGTGTTTTGTTTCCATACCAACAGAGAGATTCTGTTTGACGCTTTGTATTGGTGATCTCTGTGTTCTTGGGTCCAACAGTAAGAGCAGCACCGGTTCCAAGATACGGACCACATCACTGAGGGAGAGAGCCCGCACCAACCAGTTCTGTGCTGCGGCACTAACACTACCATCCTGATTGTTTAAACTATCTAGTACCACAAACAAAGACCTGAGAAAACAGAAATATATAGTTAACAGTGAACACTGAATATGTGTGGCACAAAAATATGGGCGAATATTACTGAAGTATTTAAATTAAGAATAAGAAAAATATATATATGACCTGTCAAAGGAGCGGTTGAGAGATGTGCTGCGATTGGTCTGGATCTCTCGTGTCAGGTGCCACAAAACTGAGAACCTGTGGAGCGCCTCTAGACACACAACCTAACACGAATACACATACACATTTTAATAAATGTTTATGAGTGTGTGTAGATGTATTAAATGAGGGAAATACAGTACCTTGTCCCCACTGAGTAAACCCAAGCAGATGATGTCCTCGCAGATAGATGCAGATGGAGCCAAGCAGTGAAGCCGATAGAACAGCTCCACACAGGATACGTGATGCTCTCTACGCTCTGTGTCAAGCTGAGCCCATAAAACCTGAGATACACGCTACAAGAGAAATAAAAAGAGAATTAAAGTGAAGAAAAGAAGTCACATTAAGGAAGTCAGATCACTCTCCATCTTCGTGACACCCCCTGGCAGCTATTTTCTATGTAGACGAGTACAAGTACACAAGAACAACCCAAATTAGCACTAAAATTGTACATAGCATCACAATTTATTTATTTTTTAAGCTCAAATCATGCTAGTCCGGGTAGTCCAGCTAACATACATCCACCTATTCAGGATAGAAGGAAAATAAGTGATGCCTCTATCAAAATGGCAATTAGCTCTTTTAACTAAAATGCAGGACTTCCACTCATTAAAAAAAAAAATCATAAAAATCCATCCGGTCCATTTACTGACCCTTGTAATGTCTCTTGAATTAGCCATTTCTATATCATATTCAATTCACAACAGATAAAGCTATAAGAAATGCCACCGGTAAATCACATTGTGTATTACCAGGTAAAAGTCTGTAGAATCCTCCAGAGTTTTGAGAACAGCTGGGTAGATGGGAGGCAGGGTGACCATTTGCAGCTGTCCGCTGAGTGGGTTCACATCCGAGTTCTTATAACGTTGATTTTTATCCTGAATGACGAGGGCTAAAGACTGAGAGTGATTGATCAGCTCCAGCAAAGAAGAGATGGCAACATGTTGCACCTACAGACACATAAAAAAAATATTTAATATGAAATGATTCAGTTTTGGCAATGCAACCATTAAATCCATTTGTCATTTTTCCAAGACAAAATACTTTGTCCTATCCCAATTCACTGCGCAGAGGCAACTCTAAGTAACCATTCGTAGGCTGACTCTCCTGAAGATTGTAAACAGTGCATCACTATCAAAACATTGTTCTGACTCAACCAGTAGTGAGGGTTTGGAGGTGGGACTACCTGTTTCTCAGAACATTGGTAGATGGTGGACATATTTATGTGGAAATGTTTATGGGAAGTTTTATTACTGTTTAAGTCTAGAATAATTATTGTTAAACTAAAAGGGCTAGTCCACCCAAAATGTAAAAATCTGTGATCATTTACTCATGTTGTTCCAAACCTGTAGGCTTTTTGAATTTTTTCAGAATTTTTATTCTGCAGAACACAAAATAACATACTTTGGGGACAAAACAACTTTGGAGTCCATTGACTTCCAATTAAAAAAACACTGAGACATTTTTCAAAATATCTTCTTGTGTGTTCCTTTGAAGAAAGAAAGTCCTACAGTCTTGGAACAACATGAGGTCGAGATGATTACAGAATTTTCATTTCTGGGTGAACTATACCTTTTAATTTCCAGCATTGAGAACTTGTACCTGGTAGTCTTTCGTCAGGCAACACAGAGTCATCAAGGACCTCAGCCAGTCAGGAAGGGTTCCCTCAATCCCTGAGGAGAGAAGCACTCAGTTTTTTTTTAGAAAAACATATCTATGTGCTGTGACATGCTACATGAAAAAACATAGTTTAACATGGTGGAATACAATTATTTTATTTACCTGTCTTGTTGAACATAGATGTCTGCAGGTCTTGGTTCTCTTCTTCAGTAAAATAGACGGGAAATGTTGTGCATTCCAGTAGAAGCTGACAGACCACGGTGACCACCTGGCGGCATGACTCTGATATCTCCCCTTTGCTCTTTGACTGGAAATTTCCCATCCACTCCAACACTGCTGGTCTGTGGTTTTTATCTCTAGAAGACCCATGAAGGGCATGGATCCTCAGTTTACTAGGGTTAAAGAACTCAGCAAGTCTGTCTTTGATAAGACCCAAGTCTCGACTGCCTTTCCGTTTCAATGGAGACCGTTTACTGCCTCTTGGAGGAGCATTAGGATCTAGCTGATTTGCTGCTTCCTGTTTCTTCTTCTTCTCTGGATCCCCGACATCTAACAAATGCCTGAAAGATGAACATGAGTGAGACAGAGAGAGAGAAAAAGAAAAGGCAAGTACAGTGAGCACGCATGCTGCTAGTTGCAGGGCCAGAAAAGAATACTAGCAGCATCTTCAACCAGGGAGCCGGGGCCCTCAACAAACTACTTACATTTTGAGTAAAAATATATATATTTTTAAATCCTTATCATTAATCCTTATCCAGTAAATCACAAAAAAAACTGTAAGAGTCTTTTTAGAGTCAAAAAGATTCCGAACCACTTGCTTCAGAATCTGGGCAATGCACACTGTATACTGCATACTATTTTAAAACGTAGTATGAATGCAAAATGTAATGCCAAATGTTACATTATTGTCACATTACCTCACTATGTAGCATTGTATTTAATCCATCCAGTTATCACAGTAAAACTGTATTTTGCTTTTTTAATCCAATTATGTTAAACTGGATATGTAAAAATCACACTTTTTGTGCATTTGTCAGAATGCAAATGGAATTGCATTCTGCAATACACTAATTCCTTGCAGTATGTTCTGGTTGCATATGCACATTTCTAGCAAGAAATTTCGGTATTCCATGCGAAAATATGTATATTGGGCACACACAGTATACACTGAATTACCTTGTGATCACAGATGCCAGTATGTCCTGCACACATTTGGACATGTTTTCTATAGTTCCTCCTCTTCTCCACACGTCCTCTGCTTCAGGGTTCACACCAGAAGCAGTATCTGATCCATTACGGCCTGGCAGGAGGTGCTGTTCAGATGGAGATGCGCTCAGGCCTAATCCACTGTCTTCAGAGCGCAAAGCAGAATGTGGAACTACACCTGGCTCCGCCTCCTGTCTCTCCTGTCCATTCAGACCGACCTCACTGGAGCTGTCATCATGGTTACCATTCACCTGGTCAGTTTCTTTGACTTTATTGTTGCCTGTCATTACAATCTATATTTGTACAAAAAGAGCCCTTCAAAACACAAATTGCCAAACCATAATATGAATGGCATTTAAATGTAAACTTGTAATGGTCTGATTATCAAAATGATACACTAAATGCAGTGGTAAAAATATACACTAGCATTCTAAAGTTTGAGGTCATTAAGTTTTTTTTATTCAGTAGGATGCATTAAGTGACAGTTAAGACTCTTCCACTGTTACAAAAAAAAATTAAAATAAATGCAGATCTTTTGAATTTTCTATTCATCAAAAAAAAAGAAAAAAAAAAAAGAAGTATCACAGTTTCCACATTACGCAGCCCAACTGTTTTCAACACTGATAATAATTAAAAATGTTTCCTGATCAGCAAATCAGCATATTAGAATGATTTCTGAAGAATCATGTGATACTGAAGACGGGAGGGAGTAATGGCTGCTGAAAATTCAGCTTCGCCATTGTTATTTTAAACTGTAGTCAAATTTCACAATATTACTGCTTTTACTTGGTGAACATAAGAGAAACACAAAAAAAAATCATACCAACCACCAAACGTTTGAACGATAGTGTACAGTAAAACTGACCCATCATACCCGTGTTTGCTCCAGATCTTGCGTCTGTGATTCAGCCTCCATGTCCATATAAGCCACTGGCATCTGGATCTTACTGAGCACTTTAAAACATGCTCTCAAGGCCTGCGTGAGCTCCTGTAGGCGAAGGGATGTCATGTGACAACGCAGCGACTGCAGCATGCAGCCCAGAATCTGTGGCAGGCATTGCGTTTGAATCTCTGCATAAAGCTCCTAATAAGAAAGCCAAGAAGTGGAATGAGACCAAACGACCAAAAATTTGGAAAAAGTTTTCCAAAGATGAATCACCAGATCATACCAAAGGAATAACATCCATCAGGAAGATAATGAGCGTTGAGAGTTCAGTCACTGAGGGAGGGCTACTCCAGGCTTTAGATGGATGCTTCCCGGCTGGATCACTCAGTGAGCTGAGAAACAACCATAACACTAGACATTATCACATCATCTCATTTTTGTTCATGCAATGCTGTTTATTATGGGTTTGTGTTAATTTACCTGAGACAGATTTGGAAATGCCTTGTCATATAGTCCCAGAGATAATTGCTGCTCATTGCACTCACAAGCATATTGACGGTCTTTATGATCTCTGAGGAATTTTTATTCTCCTTGATTTTACTGCACAGATGTGTAGACAGTCAACAATCAGAAACAGCATTCATTCACGTATTATTAATTCATTTTGTACATCCATATCACCGCTCAAAAGTTTGAGGTAGGTACGATTTTTTTAAAGAAGTCTCTTAGGTTTACCAAAGCTGCATTTATTTGATCAAAAAATACAGTAAACAATTATATTATAAATTATATGATTATAATGATTATAATTTCAAATAACATTTTATATGATTCTATGATGAATAGAAAGTTTGAAAGAATAGCATTTATTTCAAACAGAACTTTGTAACAATGTAAACATGCTGCTACGTAATGCATCTTCGGTAAATAAAAGTATTAATTTATTTTAAAAAATTCCTACTGACCCCAAACTTCTGAACAGTAGTGTATATCCACTTACAGCAAATTCTAAATATACATCTTATTAGTATGTAGGGTTCAAAAGGGTTTTCACAAGGGGAAAACAATGTGTTCGAATTTTAAAAGACGTGGCGCGACGCGACGCGACGCTGCACTTCTCATCCGGTTTATTTCTATTTATTTGGTAAATGGCATGTAATACGTAGGATAATGTACAGTCTGGCAGTCATTGATCACTGTGTCAAGTTTACTTAAGATAATGATGTTTTACTTGTATTTGACACTTTCTGAGTGTCAATTCTGGACCCTGACAATATTTGTGATTTCTGGGAATCAAAACCAAGACACCAGTGTTGTTAATACAATTCTCTACTACTAGTTAAGCTACAGGTAAACTTGTGCGCTGTAAAAATATGAGCATTGATTTGTTCTCTCTGACCTGTTGAGTTGGCTGCCACTGAGGCTGGAGTTGAGACTGTCCTCTCCCAGCATCACTTTACAGTAGCTGTAAAAAGCTCTGACCACCTCCAGCAACACATCAGACAACACCAATGGCCCTGTGTGTGGGAGAATGCAGAAATATAAATAATTATGTAAAACAGGTCCAAAGTAAAGCATTTTAAAGTTTGAACCACGTGGGTGTCTTTACCTATTTCAGATTTGTCCAGCAGACTAAGGATGATGCGAAACGGTCTAAGATACTCTATTAGATTGTCTGGGTTGGCCTCTATGTCTTTCTGCTTCAGAATATTCACCACAGCCTATGAAGAAAATGTCAAAATATGAGTTGTGTTCACCATGCATGTATAAAATGCATACACTAACATATAGGGAATGTGTTAAGTGAAAATCAACTGCAATTCTAATTGAAAAGCTCTACTTTGGGGTATTAAATAAGCTGTTATGTAATGTAATTTGAGCTTGAGTGAGAGTGTGTTATCTTCTATACCTGCACCAGTAATTCTCTGGAGTGTGTACTGAAGTAGAATGCAGTGTATTCCTCCACAGTGTTAAAGCGACTGGAGTCTGCAGCCACCATTCCTCCTTTGATGTCTAAGCCTGACAATACACACATATGGAAATACTAAGACGTTACACACCCATGACGAAAATTTAGCAAACTACTTAAAATGATAGTTCATCCAAAAACAAACCCTTAACCATGTTCTTCAAAACCTGTATGTACTGTACTTTTCTTCCATAGAAAAATGAGATCATTAGCAGAATTTTCTTTTCCATGCTATGAAAAGGAAAAAACTTTCGCCATAAAAGATCTCTTCATTTAATAAAACTTCCCTTCATCATCCATAGAATCACTTATTCAGTGTTTTAAATTTTGGGCCAAAGTATACTTTTAATAGATAAGTGGTATTTATCTTATTAAACATTACTTAATTATTTCTGTGGTATTCTGTTAATTTCTGGAAATTTGTCAGCGGTACCGAGCATCCATGCGTAGAGGCGTCGATTCAGAGACATGTCTCTCCTGAGCAGAGTGAGTGAGGCAGCAGACACCACACTGATCACCTCATCTTGCTTTAGTGGAAAGGCACATTCCTCAGGATCCTACAGGTAGGATTATTTTGATTAAATGTTTTACAGGCCGTCTGGGACAAGTTCATGTGTGATGACTACACAAATATAGATGGAAGTGAAGAAAGAAAGAAAAAGAAGAGGGATAACCTGGCAGGATGTGAAAGGGAAGAAGTAGAGAAGGATTTCCAGCATGTTTCTCTGGACCAGAACGTTAGAGTCTTGTAAGGCAAGACAAACAGCTTTCACCTGGAGCAGAGAGATGGGGAGGTGTACATTTATTCAGTTATATGCAACTCCTTTAAAACAACAGACCTTCGTCAGAGTAGACACCATGTGTAATTTGAACCCAACGACTAGCTATGAGGAAATAAAAGTACAGTCTGTAAAGTACACACTCACCACTAGTCTGTGGTCTGTCCCAAGCATATACTTCTGTTCTCGAGCGGCGATTGAGAGGTCAAAGTGTGCCACAATGAAGAGGGAGGCTGGGAGCCGTACCAGAGGACATATAAGGACTGAACCCCACAGCGCCCCATAAAACACAGACTGACCCACCAACACTGACAACTTCACAAGCAACGCATCCGTCCTGAGACAGGAAGAAAGACAGTTATAAACAATAACACGTGCTGTAATGATAACGCAGCATTTTCTTAAAGGAATAGTTCACCCCAAAATTTTAATTCAGTCATCATTTACTCACCCTCATGTCATATATTTTTCCATATAATGGAAGTCATTTGGAACTGAAACTGTCTGGTTACCAACATTCTTCAAAATATATTTTGGGCTCGGGAGGAAAGAAAGTCATACATGTTTGGAACGACATGTGGGTGAGTAAATGATGACCGAATTTTCAGTTTTTGGATGGACGATCCCTTTCAGTACATTGTTTAAATAATGTAGGGTTTTTAACATTTTCATGTAACATTTTCAACACTTTCAAACAATAACTTCTAACAGTAGTCACTGCTTAGTCCATGTTTTTTAAGCTTGCCTTTTAAAACATTCCTGACCTTCCAAGTTGGTAACTGTTGCAATCCACCATATTCTGACAAACTTTAGATCTTAACTAATGTAAGTCTATTAAAGTGGTTAAATAATTCATTTTAAAGAACTTATTAAAAAAAATATATCGTAAAATGTTGCTGGGCCACTTACAAGAGTGACACAAGAACTTAAATTTTAATATCAATAAGGATGCATACATTTACTCCAAGTTAATCAATGTAATCTCACTTAACATTAAATTGGTTATGGATTAATTGAGGCACAGCTGTAGTGAAAGTGACAAAGGAGTTCAGGGTACAGTATGCTGTAGAAATATTAGGAAAGTTTAGGATGAAATCTCTGGAGTGTCAACATGAGAATCATTTGTGATCCTGGACCACAAAACCAGTCATAAGGGTCAATTTTCATAAGAATAAATACGCTTTCCATTGATGTATGGTTTGTTAGGATAGGACAATATTTGGCTTAGATACAACTATTTGAAAATCTGGAATCTGAGGTTGCAAAAAAATTCAAAATATTGAGAAAATCGCCTTTAAAGTTGTCCAAATGAAGTTCTTAGCAATGCATATTACTAATCAGAAATTAAGTTTTGATATATTTACAGTAGGAAATTTACAAAATATCTTCATGGAACATGATCTTTACTTAATGTCCTAATGATTTTTTGCATAAAAGAAAAATCTATAATTTTGACCCATACAATGTATTTTGGCTATTGCTACAAATATACCCCAGTGACTTAAGATTGGTTTTGTGGTCCAGGGTCACATTTATTGATGTCTGGTGTTAAGTTGCACCTCTCATAGACCTCCGCGCCCTCCTCCAGTCCTGGCAGTAGGCCCATAATAAAGGCCTGCAGGCTGGGTAAAAGCGCCCTCTGGAGAGGCAGGAAGTACCGCTCGTACAGCGTCAGCAGAACCGGCTTCAGCGACATCGCTGCATGACCCAACAATGGAAACAGCCCTGAGCTGTACACACATGAACACATAAATGATTTCACCAATAATCTCAGTACCACCATAATCACCTTTGGAAGTGAATCTAAAAACATTTGTCAGCAAAATGTCAGAGTTATAGTCCATAGTCCAACATACGTTTTGCCTAATTTGTATGAATTCTCATTATTAGAATTAAAAAATGCATTGATATTATAAGATACTATTAATTCACATAAAAATGTGAAATACTGTATATTAATACATTTATATCATATAAAATATAATTTATGCTGATATTAATAAACTTTATTAACATTTTCTGCAATGCTGTAAATGTGATTAATTGTCATGAATATGGAAATATGACCTTCACATTTCTACAGTATGCAAAATTAAACCAGTATTCTTCATTGACACCAACCTGTATATGAAGAGATCCTTGGCTAGCCATTTTGTGCCGATGATTTTGAAAATGACCTCATAGGTCTCAAGTGCTTTGAGATGGACACCGCTGGGCAGGGCAGGATGCAAACACTGAGCCAGACGCTTCCCGATGATCAGCCGCCGCGGTAACAGCGAGTACTTTAGATTACTCTGGAGAGCCTGAGAAACACAAAGAGTGAAAGTAAGACGGACAATGTAAATAACTGCAAAATTATACTGTCTGGTCAAAGCTTTTAAATTATTTTCTATAGATTTCTATATAAATCTATAGTAAAAAATGTTTTACCAACTCCAACGTGAACAGTAGTGTATATATAAAGTGTTTGTAAATGATTGTACATACATACACATTCTATATCACTAAAACAAGGTTATTTGTAGATTGATTATACCAGTATTAAAAACTAATGAAAGCTAGTATTTAAACAGTCTTATATAATCATCCAAGTCACTAGCTTTCCAACACATATCGCACTCAGCAACCACATTTGCTGAACTGGTTTCAAACAAACTACCAACAAGAGCTCAGAAGAGGGGCTGGGCTTAGTTTGTTATTGCACAGCACTTGAAACATGTTTTACAAGCATGCCATAAATAATATCACCCGATATACAAAATTAACATACTTTGAGTGTGTTAAAAAGGAGACTGTTGATCATAGCATCATGTTAGATGTCAAAGATCTGATACAAATACACAAAACCTAATAGTTATCATTCATATTCACGTTGTTTTGTAACTCGCATAATATCCGGAAAGTCCCATTGAGCAAACAAGAAAATCACATGCCATGCAAAGAGATATAGAGAGAAAGAGAGAAATTTAAATAAGACACCAGTTTTTTCCCCCCACATAAACATGGAAATGTGTTTTGAAAAAAAATGTGGAAGGTTGGGATGAAAAGTATTTGTCTAATCTTAAGGACAGTGTACACAAGTCCTTGCCAACCTATTCAAATCAGCTGCACTTTGAACGTGTGTGATGAGTTTGAGGTCAAGCAGTAATGTTATACCCAATGCCTTCATTCAACAGTACCGAAGATCATAAAGGAAAGTCTCTCACTTCTCTAAAAAAAATAACTTCAACTCTACTAAGTGTAGCGAATCAGCTCATGGGGGAAATATGAATAATTAACCATAACTAGTTATAATTAACTATTCATATTTTAGATCCGCTGTAGATATTTAGCTGACCTCTCAGGGTCAACTTCCTCCTTTACTTGCAGAGTAAAGCTAAAGTGTGTCTTTTTTTCATTCTAAAATACTTCTCTAACAGTTTAATGTGCAACTATAGGTAAGACATTTACAAACTGATTTCTCTGAAATATGTAAAAACTGTCTCTGTGGAGCTTTTTGAGTTTTTAAAAACAGAAATCAGTAAAGAGCGGAAAGAGTTTTAAAGAGTTGCTCATATTGATTCTGTTTTTTAACTGAAGCAAATGATAACCCAAGTGTATTGCTTTGTTTTCTCCAGACTTTACCTTGTTGAGTTTTCCTAGTGAGGAGATGAGATCGGCCCATTCACTAGATGATTCAAAGTTCCGCAGCGCCTTCTCAATTACAGCTGCGTAACTACGATAACGGTAGTCATTCAGAAGCTCGGCTTCCTCAGGATCCATCATGCTTCAGTCACGTCCCAGCATGCTTAGCATCTGCCTATGAGACAAAATAGACTGATCAGGAGAAATTCTGCATCACAACTCTTGACTGCACAAAGAAACAAATGCATAATAAAGTAAAGTGAAATCATGCTAAAGACAATCGGTTTCTAATTAAGAAATGTACAAAAGATGAATAGCTATAGTGGTGCATGCTTACACAAGTATGGGTTTGAACAAACTCCTAACCTTGTGTGTTAAACCGTGTGCTGCACACATGAATTATACTTCAAATCATGTGTGGCTTATTAAGGAGCGGTGTGCTATCACTTTTATAAGCAATCAGGCTTATGATTTTTACCTCACAGCCAACACATGGGTGAAAAGAAATAACTACAGTATATGAAAAGAGAAAACCAAGACATATTTAGTTCCCAGAAATCACAGAGACTTATGTTAAAGGGCTGGGAGTAAGGGGAGTAAGCAACCCTAGCAACTTCTTTAAACAATTTTCCAGATTTTGTGCTGAAGTTGAAACAAACCTAAACGCAAGAAGAGAGCAGATTTTCATTGTGACATGGTGTACTATATAAATGATGCTGAACAAAATCATGCCACAATAAACTGACAATTCTGTGTAAACCAAGTGCATCTATAACATGAGACTATGGCAACAGAGTATAAACACAGTGCCTGAAACAATGTACACTGCTGTTCAAAAGTTTGCCCTCTGATGCTCACCAAGACTGCATTTATTTGATTAAAAATACAGTAAGAACATTACAATTTAAAACTACAGTTTATATCATTTTATGTTTTAAAATGTAATTGCTTCCTGTGATGTAAAGCTGAATTTTCAGCAGCCATTCCTCCAAACTTCAGTATCACGTGATCATTCAGAAATCAATTCTAATATGCTGATATGCTGCTCAATAAACATTTCTTGTTATTACCACAGTTAAAAACGGTTGTGCAGATTAATCTTTTTGTGGAAACTTTTTTTTAAAATTAAGATAAAGTGCAAAAGAACCCCAAACGGTAGTGTAAATGTCATTAATAATCTTCCATTTCCACTCAATTTCTCAGAAAGAAAAAACAAACAAACAACAACAATGACAAAACGACTGAATGGTAGTGTACACATATCAGGCATGTCTTCTCTGAAGGGAGGCACTGCCTTCTGAAAAAATTGGATGATTAAAAAAAAAATTTGACAGTACAAAAATAAATCAAAGCAAGTAGCATATAATCCACTAATTTTTCTAAAGTAATTCTGTCCACCAGAGACATCAGCGGATTACAGAGGGACACAGTGTCCCTTTGGCCTCCCTTGACCTCATTGTTCTCACAGAGCCTCTAATACATGCTATGAATGCAGGAAAATACGGGTGATAAATCACATGAGAGGAATCAGTACATCCATAGCACCATGATTAGCTGATTACACTGTCAATGTAATCATATTCACAAATCTGCAAATCAGCCTGAATGAGTCAGACTGGTGGAAATGGATGGATTAATTGCAGAGCAAGGACTCTGAACATAACCAGTATCAGTCAAATGGCATGATGCAAAAATAATTGCAAAAAAATGCATCTGCATTATTCTGTGTTGGCCAGCTCAGAAACAGACATTACAAATAAATACACACCAAACACAACAGACAGTGTAAGATAGATTATGGTCTCCGATTAGATATGGTGACATCTGTTAGCTCTCTGGTGATAAAAGCCCTGAGAACACACACATACACGCATACAAACACACACTGTGACACTTACATCTGTTCAATCTGATGCTATGAGCATCAAATGGGCATCTAGAGATTTACAGAGGATTTAACAGACAGGAGCAAACCCCAAAACACGTGCCTGTTGAACAATCTGATTCGTGTATACCAGTACTCTTAATACTACCTGTTCAGCTTTCTGTTATGATGGATTTAGACTCATTACAGTCCAGTTAGTAAGCTGCTGAATACCAAGTAGGCCTACTAATTTCAGTTCCTGCACTTCATTCACACATCAAAGAGATTCTGTGTCTGGCAGGGGGAGGCACAAAGCTAATATAGCAAACACACACAATATAGCAGTACCCTGAACTCCTCAGTCAGCCTCATGTTCTTAATATCAGCAGCAGCTTACAATCATTATAACAGCAGCTCATTAAAAGTCTACAAGCAACAACCAGCTTTGAAAAATATGCTGGTGATTAGTTATTACTTAGTTATTATAACTATAATTAGTTATTATTATTAGATATAGTCTTAAAAATTACACACACAAAAAAAACAGGTACAAATGTTTCTGGGGTGGTACTTTTTCAGAAGGTAAACTTTTTTTTTTTTTTAACCTAAGAGTGCTTATTGGTACCTTACATGTTAGTACCCAAATATTATTACCTGAAAGGTATAAAAGTTTTTTAAAAAAAGGTACTACTGCCCCAGTGGCATCGTTTTTTCTGCGAGTGTACAGTGTTATTATTATCCAGTTTCTACATCTTACACAGTTATAAACACATTGATACTTTTTTTCAGGATTCTTTGATGAATAGAAAGTTCAAAATAACAGTGTTTATTTCTGTTATAATAACATTATCAATGTCTTTACTGTCATTTTTGATCAATTTAATGTGTTCATGCTGAACAAAGGTATAAGCAAAATTATTAATAGAAGTACTTTAAGAAAAAATTACTAACTGACCCCAAACTTTGGAACGTTAGTGTAAATGTCATGTATAATTGTCATGAATAATTGTCCATTTCCACTCTGCAAAGCATATACACAACCAGCTCTCGCTATAGGCCATGTATTATGGTACAAAGTTGTGTGTAATGATATTGGTCTATCGATCTGGTCATTAATAGTGCTCCTCTCAGCAGCATACCAGTGAAAACATGTACAGCAAATGGCTATAGATGTGCATGTGATAAATACGTAGGCCTTAATTTAAGCGGTTATGGAGGAGGGGTCTCTATATTTCTTTCACAATGTTTGAGTACAGTTTCATTCAAGCAACTGTGAAGCAACACAACATACAGAGACCTGTTATGTAACTTAAATCTGTCCTTGTTGCATCCATTGACTTCATGACTACCGCACAGAACATCATATCCATCATATGCATATTCCTCCTTAAGAGTATTAAACCCATATGCCTTAATCACTGTCCATTCACAATGCACATTTGGAGCGTGTGGAACGGAAAACGTGTGGCATTATGCTGGTTGGTTAAATGCATTTAAATAAAAAATAATAAATTAAACTAAAGAAATACACATTTTAACAAAACTTTTTCACCTACTGCTGGGGGAACAATATGCAGCATCCATCATCACATATAATAATCTTCTGTTTGAACTACAGCCATGATTTCAGATATACTATTAGTACAGTATTTATAATAAACTACCCATTAAAATTGTATGACATCCATAACAACATATCATATGTTATTGTGAGAACTGAATGACTCACTCACTGCAGCAGAACAGGGTGGTCGACAGATCACAGGGTCTCGTGCCAAATAACCTCACGATTTTAGATAAATCGACAGTTTAAAAACAGTAAAGAGCGAGCGAGCGAGAGAGAGGACAGATGCGTCATATGAATATTCAAAGCTGTAGCCAGCAGGAATTGAATCGCTCAGCTGATTTCCACCAAACAGTTCATTTGTGGACATTTCCTGATGGGCGGAGGGGGGCGAACCATTCAACGATGACAAGGGGGTGTGGCGGTGATACACATTATTATACGCTTTTATTGCATTCCTAAATTATGTTGAGTTCGTTTAAATAAAGATAGGTTATTTGCACTGTTATTGAACTTGGTACCCGTTTTAGTGCTGGGCGAAAACACTGTATTTATTAGACGGCTACATTCTTTCCCAGCTTCACCCCATTCGTTGGTATCTTCCAGGATGTCATCTGTTTACATTCCTTGCACCAACCTGACACATTTTGAGGCGACTGACTGACCATCAGTGCATTAGTGAAAACAACGTTTGACTATGACTTATTATGAAGCATAGTTTACCAAGGCCTCGTTACACCATACATGACTTTTAATGTGAGATGTATTTGCATGACAATCAAAGGTCTAACTCAATTGCAAATGTAGTAAGGTTTAAAAGATTACAAATTTCAAGAGAGAGAGTACAGTAAAAAGTTTGGACCAGGGGTGCCCAAACTCGGTCCTGGAGGACCGGTGTCCAAAAGAGTTTAGCTCCAACCCCAATTAAACACACCAGAACCAGATAATCAAGCTCTTATAGGCATACTAGAAACTTAGGCAGGTGTGTTGAGGCAAGCTTGAGCTAAACTCTGCAGGACACCGGCCCTCCAGGACCGAGTTTGGGCACTCCTGGTTTGAACACACCTTATTCAATAGTTTTTCTTTATTTTTATTTTCAACATTGTAAATTAATACGGAAGTCTTTGAAATTATGACAGAAGAAATGTGTAATTATGTAGTCAACAAAAACGTGTTAAATAACCCAGAATACGTTTTATATTTTCGATTCTTCAAAGTAGCCACCTTTTTCTTTGATGACAGCTTTGCACATTCTTGGCATTCTCTCAGTTAGCCTCATTAGGCAGTCACCTGGAATGGTTTTCCAACTAACTTGAAGGAGTTCCAAGAAGGGTTGAGTACTTGTTGGCTGTTTTTCCTTCACACTCTGGTCCAACTCATACCAAAACATCTCAATTGGATTTAGATTGTAGGATTGTGGAGGCCAGGTCATCTGATTAAGCTCTCCATCACTCTCCTTCTTGGACAAATAGCTCTTACATAACATAGAGGTGTGTTTGGGGTCATTTTCCTGTTGGAAAACAAATGATGGCCCCACTAAGTACAAACCAGATGGGATGGCATGTCGCTGCAAAACGCTGTGGTAACCATGTTGGTTAAGTGTGCCCTCAGTTTTGACTCAAATTTGACTGTGTCATCAGCAACGCACCATCACACCTCTTCTTCCATGCTTCAGAGTGGGAACCACATATTCAGGAACCGGCCGTTCACCCTCTCTACGTCTAACAAAGACACAGCAGTTAGAACCAAAAATCTCAAATTTGCACTCATCAGACCAAAGGACAGTTTGGTGTCAGAATGGGAAAAGTTGCCAATCTATCGGAATGTGATCTAATGACGCTTCCTTGTGTTTCCTGGACCAAACAAGTCCCTACTGCTTGTTGTTCTTCCAAAGTAATGGTTTCTTTGCTGCAATTCTACCATGAAGGCCTGACTCTGTCTACTCTGAACTGTGAATGTTGAAATATGACTTGAACTCCAAGAAGCATTCATGTGGGCTGTAATCTGGGGTGCTGTCAATAGGCAGTTTCTGAGGCTGGTAATTCTAATAAACATATCCTCTGCAGCAGAGGTAGCTCTCGGTCTTCCTTTTCTGGGATGGTCCTTATGAGAGCCAATTTCATTTGATGTTTTTGGTGACTGCACTTGGAGATACATTCAAAGACCTTGATTTCTCAAAGTAATGATGGACTGTCTTTTCTCTTTACTTAACTGTTTTTTTTACCATAATATGAATTTGTACAATATTTGTACAAATTCTTGAGGAAAACCAGCAACCCTCTGTTATACAGCTGAAGATGGGCAGCCGCTAAAACAACAACGCAACGGCAATGCAACTCTTTCAAAGGGGTATGATGATTTTCCATAGACTCTGTGCGTGTATATACATTATACCATAGATAGATAGAATCATGTCATTTAATAAAAATAATAAACAGTTTAACTGTTACATAATATTTATTTTGAACAACTGGACAAGCTCATAGAACTATACAACAGCAGAGAGAGGTCGTTCTTTCTTCACCCACTGAATCTTGATTTGATTAGGTCTGGTCAGTCCACAGGACTTAGGTCTCCCTGATTAGCTTTGTGAGCTTCTGGACCTTTGTCTTGGTAGACATGTCAACATACTTATCACCAATGCTCACGATCATGCCCCCAAGGATAGAGGAATCAGACTGTGGGAAGGAGGAAGAGAAACACATTAAACATCTGTATTACATTGCAATAAATATAACAAACCTCTTTGATAAAAACAATCATTTATTTTGTGTGGTCAATTTCACAAGGATGAGCAGACGACAAAACAGATACGAGCAAATGACATTAAAAAGACAAGGTCCTTTTCAAAAGGTTTCACCTAATTCTAACTCAATATGAACATTTTAGCACTCTTTCTGTTATGATATATTAGAAATGAAGCAAGGAAGTGAAGATTTTAAACTTTAGTGAAAAATAAAATCAAAACATTAGGCTGACCCAAGTACTAGGGCTGCACGATTAATCGAATACGACTGTCATGCGCATTTTGATAGTAATGCCGGTTCTGTAATCAGCAGGAAATCATCATCACGTGCTTTCAGATGGAGCAGCATTTACTACACAAAGCCGTAGTTCACTGATAAGTTACGCAGAAAAAAAAAAAATATATATTTGCAGACGATTTTATTGCGCGATTCTGAAATCGAAGAAATCATTTGCGATAATGACAGCTGTTTGCATAGCTTCTCAGTGAACCACGGCTCTGTGAAGTAAATGCTGCTCCATCTGAAAGCATGTGAAAATACCACATTTAATAACATTTTTACTCCAAACTCACTTCATGTCAGTCAAGTGTTTGAAATAAATCCTTCTGTGAGATGAGGCTTCTTACACAGAATAAGGCATGCAACATATTTCATAGTATTTAAGCAGTGATAAAGGCATTGAATTATAAATATACTTTATTTTAATGAAAATTATAATAAGAAGAACTCAGATAAACAGTATATTGCCATAGTCGTGTTTATTAGTCACGTTGAATCAATGAAAGCAGTTGAATGTTCTGTTTATTCAGCTGCAGCTATAGGCATTTTCTTGGTTTCTTCTGCGAGGCGTATTTGGAGTTTCAGCGCGAGAGCGCCCTCTGGCCTTTGGATGGAGATTTACTGCTGATCACAGAACCGTGCTTCACTGAAAGATACGCATGACAATCGCAGCTTCTGTCGAATCGCGATCTCGTTCGATTTATCATGCAGCCCTACTAAGTACCTTCTTAAAATAAGTTTATTTTAAAATAATCACTAAAATGAAGCCCAACATGCTCTCCAACCTTGGTCTCAAGCTTGATGGTCTCTCCCTTTGCCAGGAAACCATTCAGTGCCATCTTCAGCTCTGCAAGATTAGCTTCATCCAGAGGCTGTTCAACAAGGTTTAATTCAAAACTTGAATGAAAAAACCCATTCGAAACTTTCCATGCAGATCAGAAATCTTTTAAAACAAAACAAAAAAACATGTACAAACATACATGTATGCATACACTGCTTACCTGTGCGGTGGTGACCGAGCATGTGACCTCTCCTCTGTGGGCACTCATCATTTTGCCAAAGGCTGTGATGACATCAGGGGTAAAGGTCAAGCGGCCATTTTCTGCTAGGACATCTGTAAACAAAAATAATTAAATATGCATATACAATACACTTTCAAACCCATAAAATACTCTGAATTTTCTAAGTACAACTATTATCAATTTCGATATTCATTTTTATATAGGTCACGCTTCTACAAACTTTTCACTTAACATGTGCAAACTCTACTTGCACATTTATTTTAATCACCCCATAGTTCTCACTGAATCAACCTGGGATACAGAGAGAATAATGGCTGGTCAGAAAACTCACTGATGAGGTTGATGGTGATGGGGGAGAGTTTTGCCTTGGTCAAAGCATCAATGAAAGTCTTCTGTTTGACACTGCGCTTCACATGGGGGTTCATCACGATACTTGACAGCTTAGGATTCTTAATCAGGCTCTAGGAAGTGGGAAAATGAAAGATAAGCAAGAACTATTGAAGCATCGTGTAAAACAAGCACAAACAAAGAGAGGGAAATCCAAAGTGAAACTCACAAATATATGTCCAAGCTCCTGTTCAACCTTATCAAGGCTCTTCTGCTTGCTGGCAGCAGAGAACAGGGCAGTAGCATAACGTCCCTCCACCCCATAGACCTGGATAGGGGGCTGAAGAAACGTACTATGGTAAGAATGCAGCCTGGTGTGCAAAAAACGCTTACACTATTACGGAGTGATTAAATAAACACATTAAAAAAAATCAAAGACATCTGAAAGTTTATAAGTACTTTGGCATCATGTCACAGTTTCTACAGCAAATGCATCAGAATTAAAATGTGCAGTTGAATCAACACCAAAATAAATTAAATACTATTACACAAAGAAATCTCTGTGCATTTCACAAAATACTGTATAGTTACTATAAATGTCAGTACTGCAGAATTACACTTATACGGAGTAAAATGTTTTCAGAATATGTCATAGTAACTTTTTTCCCTGGTATATAATGTTACTTAAAATGAATTACTTTTATTTTTTATTTTTTTTACCTTGGCAAGTTTTGCTACTGGTCGGATCACAGAGGTGCTAAACTGACGCACCTGCACAGAGATGAAGAAAATAACATGCATGAAGATTTATCAAACATGACAGACACGACCTGGTTATAAATATAAATTCTAAGCTTTTGATTTCAGCAGTGTCACTTATTGCGTTTCAAAACTGCATCATAGGACTTCTATAGCGTTCTCACTTCTTATAGGTTTTAAAACGTATGTCCAATCTCATTTTCAGTGTTTAATCAAATAATGAGCATATTTGGAGCACAGATTCATCAGGTCCTTATATAAATAAATTTAGCTAATGCAACTCAAGATGGGAGACGCTAATGAACATATTAACTATATAGTGGATTGCTAGGCTCTCACAAGAGCACACGGTTTGGATGACTGTAATGTTTCATGTCGCAGCTGAGACACTGAGTGTCAAGGCCTCGTTCAGTTATCAGACAAATCATGTTGGTTCCAAAGATCAAATAATTTAAGTTTCAAAAGATTACATAGATTTAACTACACCAAGCCAAACATCTCGTGGTTTTCCATACAAACACCAAGGTTCATCAGAATGTCATACCTGCAGCCCCACTCCAAGCGCTGCCATTTTCTCCTGCGACTGTGTAGGTCAAAAGCACTGCGCAGTGCGCATGCGTCAAACTCTCGGAAGAAATACGCAGAGCTGGCCTCATGCATTGTGGGAAATGTGGTTAGTCATATCAGTGGAAAATTACTCGGAAAGATTAGATTTTTTGTCTCGTCTGAATCAATTTGATTACTTTTAAATCTTTGTTTCTCATTTCCATTTTAAACCTCAGCAGTAATATGACCAAACTGATTGGATAGTTGGCAGGGCTGTTGCAGTCTGACCTTTAGCTTGCTGTTAGATATCATAGGATGTTAAGCTAGCTGTCAGAACCAACCAGTGTAGTGTTATGTAATAATCTGCCCTATGATTCACAAGGAATTAGTGCCTGAAGTCAGAGCTGGTATAGTTTCAAATGGCAGAGCCATGGATTGGAAAGTGATGCGGCACATATGTGTATGTGTTGCGTAGGTTATGCACACAAAAAAGCCAGGCAGTGATTATTATTATTGGACACTGAGTGTCAAGGCCTCGTTCAGTTATCAGACAAATCATGTTGGTTCCAAAGATCAAATAATTTAAGTTTCAAAAGATTACATAGATTTAACTACACCAAGCCAAACATCTCGTGGTTTTCCATACAAACACCAAGGTTCATCAGAATGTCATACCTGCAGCCCCACTCCAAGCGCTGCCATTTTCTCCTGCGACTGTGTAGGTCAAAAGCACTGCGCAGTGCGCATGCGTCAAACTCTCGGAAGAAATACGCAGAGCTGGCCTCATGCATTGTGGGAAATGTGGTTAGTCATATCAGTGGAAAATTACTCGGAAAGATTAGATTTTTTGTCTCGTCTGAATCAACGTGTGTAAAGCGTCTTGAGTTCAGTTCTTATGTAGCATTCATCTTAAATCTGGTGGTCAGTCCAAAATCAAATCAATTTATTTTTACCGAACCTGATATACTGGTATTACAGAGGCTTGGACGCATACTTAAAGATCACAGTTCTCAACTTCCAATCTTGTGTTTATTATTGTAAAGCGACCAAGGTCATTGCTGACTGCAGGCAGAATGTCTTTCTGAAAAAAAAAATTCATTCATATTGGCATTACCTCACCTCGGCTGATTTGGAATAACACCTTTATCTTACATGACTGCAATTGAATTGCACTGCACTTTTTCATCTGTTCATTGTGTGTGAAGACAGATGCAGCTCAGCCCATGAGCAAGAAGCTCAGCTGTATATGACATCATGTCAAAAAATGATCTTGATCCTTTCACCCAGATACAGACTATTGATAAAGATATAGCATAACCAATGAGTAATTGTGTTTATTTTTGTGTTTTATTTCAGCTTTAATGTGTAGGTGGACCCTTCGGTTGCACCTGTGGATCTGTTAATTGACTAGAATTCTATTTATTTACTTTACTAATTCCTGATGACAGAAAGGCTGTAAAATATATTGCTATGTTGGATGAAATGATAGCATGCATACACTAAAACTAAAGTAAACGAACTTAGTAAAGAACATTCTTAATGAGCATTATAACAAAGAACCTTATTGTGCATTTCCAGATTGTTCTTTTGACTGCAAAATCTAAGAGGCTTAGAATTAGCCTTTCTCACAATCTCTATGAGTCCTGAAGTTTTGATCGTGGCTAAAGAGGTAGTAGTAAATTTCTAGTAGTTTCCATTATTTAGTAAGGGACTACAAGAAGTAATAAATCATGAAACAAAGGCTCGTTTAGAATAGACTCTGCTGGGAGATGTGGTGGGCGTGGCGTAATATGCTAATTTCCCCACAAATGGCTATGACACGTTTACACACCAAATATACCAGGGCGTTTACAGCGGAAGATAAGAGTGGTTGGACGTTTATAAAAGGCGCGTGTGGGGTACCATTCATTCCGAAGGAATGAAATCTTCAATTTCTGAACTTTGAAAAGACCTCTTCTGACAACTAACATATCCTGCATCCTTCCGCGTTGAAGCTGTCAGAAACTGATGTAGATGATCACTTCACTTGGAGCCGTTCGATCATCTATAAACACGCGCTGATCAGTTCTTGATTTCAACACTAACGGTATATCATGAAAATGGTAAGTTGTATCTCAAGTGTAACCATTGTATTAATCAAACAGGAATTTTGAATGTAATTAAACCAATGATCTTTGCAAACTTGGAATCGTAAACAGACTGTGTTTGTTGCGGCGTACAAATGCGCCGTATTTGAAGAATTTCAGTAGTGCAATAGGCTATAAATAATCAATACGTCTTGAATTAAATGGGTATAGTTCATTGAAAATTGAGCAAGGAGGCGTGGCATCATTCACCTTTATTGTTTAACATCTTTGAAAATGAATGATGATGGAGACGGTTAAAGTCGTACAGATTTTGAGGGTGAGTAATGACTGTCTTGGTCGCTACAAAAATATTACGGCATAAAGCATCGTTCTGTCCGGCGAGCGCTGCTTCTAGAAATTTCGCAGGAGTCGCAGTGGGTTGGTGTTGTAGCCTGTCACTCTGTAAAATTCCACGCCGAAAGAATCGACACAATTCCCAACACGATATGAGTGTCAATACGCAGCATAATAGGGCATTGTTTTTAATAGGGTCGATTTTGTCATTCATCCTTGAAGAACTAGTTCTCTTCAATATTTACTGTCATGTATGTTTGTTTATATTGCCACTTGTTACTAGAGCACGTTTGAGGTTGTAGTGAGGTGCTGCAAATGGAAATTTTCCATCTTGCCCACCCCAAGTCTCTTTCCTTTCCCCCCCTTGGCCAACCAGAGGATCCTTAAGGAGATTATCACGGTCTGGCTGGTTGTTAGGGATCTGATGGTTCATTCAAAAATGAATGTCATCATTCACTCACCCTTTTTGACTCTTTCTTGGATTTGTTAGTTAGGCAGAATATTTGTGACCGTCAAGGTCACCATTCACTTTCAATTGCATCGTTTTCTATACATCAAACTTAATGATTACCAAGACTTGCATTCTACCTTACACATCTTTTCGTGTTCCACTTAAAAAAGGTCATATGAGGTTTGGAAGGATGAGGGTCAGTAAATGAATTAGGTTAGCTGTCCCTTTAAGATCTAGCTGACTTTGTGTTTTGTCATTTGTGATGTGTTGTCAGTTATGCTAAGTTTATATCAATGCTGATGAGCAAATGCAACCTGATAACATCAGCACAAGCCCTGTCATACAATTAGTCTCATGGTATCATGGTTGTGCTTTGATACACAGATAAGGCCATGGTGGATTGTAATCATTATTTCTTAATGTGTATATACAGTAATTCTATGTCTCAATGCATATGCGCATATCTGAGAAAACTGTACAAGTGAAAACCTCATGAAGTACAGATAGGGCATAACTTACCTGTTTTATAAAAAGCTTGGGCCATGAAAAGGAATGTAAGGAGGAACGGTGGACTTTTTTCCAGCATGTGAATTTAACCTAGATTGGTGATAAGGGATTTTGTTTGGTAAGGGTTGGGCACTTGGCTCCCCATGTTGGACTATAATGTAAGAGGAACTGAGTTGGCATTGTTCTGACATCATGCATCAGATACATATGTGATATGCATATTGAGTGTGTTACAGGAGCAATTTCACAGTAATACCAAAAGGTGGCAGCAGTCACTGCTTATTTACATTTCTTGAGGATCTTTTTGTTTTGTTTATGGGCATAAGCATCTGGTCGTGTGTTTTACCTTTGATTACTTTTAAATCTTTGTTTCTCATTTCCATTTTAAACCTCAGCAGTAATATGACCAAACTGATTGGATAGTTGGCAGGGCTGTTGCAGTCTGACCTTTAGCTTGCTGTTAGATATCATAGGATGTTAAGCTAGCTGTCAGAACCAACCAGTGTAGTGTTATGTAATAATCTGCCCTATGATTCACAAGGAATTAGTGCCTGAAGTCAGAGCTGGTATAGTTTCAAATGGCAGAGCCATGGATTGGAAAGTGATGCGGCACATATGTGTATGTGTTGCGTAGGTTATGCACACAAAAAAGCCAGGCAGTGATTATTATTATTGGAGACCAAGATGTAATAACACATGTATATAATGTATAACACATGTATAATAACACGTGTAATAACACATTATTTAATAAGTTTATGTACAAAATAAATAAATACAAATCCAGTCAAACAAATGTAGCTAAATTCTTATACATGTTGAAAGTGAGGTTTAACAAATGTGGGATAAACAATTGTTTTAATAAAGATTGAAAGGAGAAATGGATTATTATGATAAATATTTGTTGTTATTATCATTTTGTTATCATATATTTGAATGAATGGACAAACGGTGAATTAAACAGTGTTTATATTTCTGTTATTAATTAAATAAATAAATTAATTAAGGATGCACTGATATTAAAATTCTAGGAGACCAAGATGTAATAACACATGTATATAATGTATAACACATGTATAATAACACATGTAATAACACATTATTTAATAAGTTTATGTACAAAATAAATAAATACAAATCCAGTCAAACAAATGTAGCTAAATTCTTATACATGTTGAAAGTGAGGTTTAACAAATGTGGGATAAACAATTGTTTTAATAAAGATTGAAAGGAGAAATGGATTATTATGATAAATATTTGTTGTTATTATCATTTTGTTATCATATATTTGAATGAATGGACAAACGGTGAATTAAACAGTGTTTATATTTCTGTTATTAATTAAATTAATTAATTAATTAAGGATGCACTGATATTAAAATTCTATATGAATTTAGCAAGCATGACATTATAATGGACAGTTATATTAATTTTGAGATTCGCTGAAGGTTGTATTTAACAGTTTTATTAGTGTTTTAAAATATTAAGTGAGGGAAAGTTAAGCGAAATGTAAAATAAGGGAAATGTGATTATGTGAATGCACAATTAAATAACCAATATTGTTGAATACCAATAAATCAGTAAAATGTTTCAAATCATCCAATTACTAATTTGGTACCAGCGTAAATATTGTGCATAATTTCTGTTTTCTGCCTTTGTAAATCTTTGTATATATTCCTCAACAGAATAACAACTGTAGCAATTATATAAATAAAATCTTTATCAAAATGCTATTTTCCTGTTTTGTGGTGATTATAGTCAGTGGCTAGTAATAATGAATGGGACGGGGAAAAGTCTTTTGATCCACACTTGATCTAATGCATGCCCTGTCTCTCTCTCTTTCTTTGTGTTTGCTGTCTTGCAGGAATGTAAACTCTTGCCATTTCTAGACCAGAAGCCAGAGACATCCTCCCCAAAATAACTCTTGTGCTTCATGAGAGCACCGTTGGATAACCAATCAAATCAAAACCAAACACAGACCAAATAGAAATTCAACTGAAAGATGGCGGATGCTTCAGTTTCCTTCTAGAAAGACAGCAAACCAAAGGAATAAGAGGTTTTTATTTTGCTTGCATCTTTGCCCAAATAAGCCAAAATTATTTCAGACAATTGCATTTTGAACTGTGATAGTAGTTTAAACATGTTAAAAACGGGACCAGCGATGGAGGCAGTGGATATTGCAGTTGTTGCACTTTATTTTGTCCTTGTGCTTGCCATTGGTCTCCTCTCCATGTGGAAGGCCAATCGTAGCACTGTCAGCGGCTACTTCCTGGCAGGTCGGAATATGAATTGGGTGGTGATCGGTGCCTCACTGTTTGTCAGCAACATCGGCAGCGAGCATTTCATTGGACTTGCTGGTTCTGGTGCAGCCAGTGGTTTTGCAGTGGGTGCCTGGGAGTTCAATGCCCTCCTTCTTCTGCAGCTGCTCGGTTGGGTGTTCGTCCCAGTCTACATCTACTCTGGAGTTTACACCATGCCAGAGTACCTCTCCAAGCGCTATGGAGGCAAGCGGCTAAAGGTTTACTTCGCAGCCCTCTCACTTCTACTGTACATCTTTACTAAACTCTCAGTGGACTTGTATGCAGGAGCTCTTTTCATCCAGGAGTCTCTTGGCTGGAACCTCTACCTGTCGATCATCTTGCTTATCTCCATGACCGCCTTGCTGACAGTAACCGGTGGACTGGCAGCTGTGATCTACACAGACACTCTGCAGGCCGTGCTCATGATTGGCGGTGCGTTAACCCTTACCATCATCAGCCTGGTCAAGGTAGGCGGTTTGGAAGGGGTGCGGGAAAAATACATGGAGGCGATCCCCAACGTCACAGCCATCCTGGCTAACAGCAACTTCAGCTTTCAGTACACAAACTCCTGCCGAATTCATCCCAAGCCAGATTCCCTCAAGCTCCTACGAGGGCCGCTTGATGAGGACATCCCTTGGCCAGGCTTCCTTTTGGGTCAAACACCCTCATCCATTTGGTACTGGTGTGCTGACCAGGTCATCGTCCAGAGAGTGTTAGCTGCCAAGAATATCGCCCATGCTAAAGGCTCCACACTTATGGCGGGAATGCTTAAGGTCCTTCCTATGTTCATCATCGTTATTCCAGGAATGATCTCCCGAATATTGTTCCCTGATGAGCTGGTATGCATCGGACCAGAGCACTGCATGGCTGTGTGTGGCAGTCAGGCTGGCTGTTCCAACATCGCCTACCCTCGGCTGGTCATGAACGTGATGCCGGTGGGTCTCAGAGGGTTGATGATGGCTGTGATGATCGCTGCCCTCATGAGTGACCTGGATTCGATTTTTAACAGCGCTAGCACCATCTTCACATTAGACATTTATAAAATGCTGCGTGTATGTGCCTCCTCCTGTGAGCTGGTGGTCGTTGGCAGGTTGTTTGTGATATTCATGGTGACTATCAGCATCGCTTGGGTGCCTGCCATTATTGAGATGCAAGGTGGCCAGATGTACTTGTACATTCAGGAAATGGCAGGATACCTCACGCCTCCCATTGCTGCCCTCTTTCTGCTTGGAGTCTTCTGGAAACGTTGCAATGAGACCGGCGCATTTTGGGGCAGCATGACTGGGTTCGTACTAGGCACCACCCGCCTCTTCCTTGGGTTTATATATCGTGAGCCAAAATGTGACCAGCAGGATGAACGCCCGGCTTTCATCACACATGTCCACTACATGTACATTGCCGCCGGGCTGTTTTGGATCTCCGGGCTGGTGGCTGTGTGTGTCAGTCTGTGCACATCACCCCTAGAAGAGGAGAAGATCAAGCGTACCACAATCTGGGGCTTGAAAGAACTTAAGCGCCTTCCTGTGACAGAACGAGAGGAGATGTACAAACTCACTAATGGCAGTGGCGACGGTGTTCTCAAGAAAGATGTTCCTGAAGACATCCAGAAGGAGAGATGTCTTGATGGGGCTGACATGAAACTCCTTATGCCCTCCTCTTGTGACCAAGATCCCATGACCCCCAGCACAGAGGCATCCACACCGATGGAGCTGTATGCCAATGGTCATGCAGACCTTGTAAAACAGAAGAATCAAGGCAAGTGTGATGAAGAGAGCTGCCTTCAAGTGTCTGACTGGATTTGTTGTCACAAAGAGAAAACGTCTGTTATCGAACCCAAAGTCATTGAAGTAGATGAAGGAGCTGTACTTGAAATGCTTTATGAACCTCCTAAGATCAAGATCTTACTTAACGTAGGCCTGGTATTCGTCTGTTCACTGGGTGTTTTCATGTTTGTGTACTTCTCCTTGTAATATGCTGATCTTGCAGTACCGTAAGGCCTGTGTGAAAGACAGCATATTTATATGAATTATTTGTTAATACAAGCCATTTAGGGTCTGTAATATTTACAGTGTGGTTTATCTTTCTTTTTATAACTTCCTTTTAGGGACTCTAAGCATTTTGAATCATACTGATATAAGTTATTTGTTCTTTGCCTTGGCTCTGTCACACCTCCTTGAAAATGTTCAACTCTTCTTTGTGGTATGTTGATGATCAAATGTGTTGTTGAAACGGTAGCTTTTTTTATAGTTGGTTGAGTTAAGCTAATGAGAATATACTATTTTTTTCCTTGGTGAATTTTGCCTTAACGTGTACACTCCTCCAAACCGAAAGGAGGTCAGTTTTTTGCCTCAAGTAATTTTTTTTCTCAACAGACCACTTATATACTAGTACTTAAATGTGTAAGGACTTTGTCTTTTGTATATACATTTGTAATTGTAAGCACACTCTTAGGAATACCAAATTTCTAAAACTTGACCTCACTTGTAAATTTGTCACCTGTGTAACTGGAATATTGTTTCCAAAGTTTTAATGTTAAATGGAAAATATGTAAATTATACATTTTAAGTTAGAAAAGGTGAGAAATGTATCATGATGTCAAAGTTTATAAAAACTTTTGCAAAAAAAAAAAAAACCATATCACTAAGGTGTTGTGCCGTCTGATTAAACCTGGCACCTTGATGTACATTCCCAAATACAAGTGTTTAGGTCCATTCATGTAAATTGTAACTGTAACTCTGTATGCAATTTGCTTTCATTTCTTTGTATTTATAGCTGATTTAATTGGACAAAAACAAAACACCAAAATGCCTTTTGTGTAGAGCATAAGCTGTAAAGACACTGCTTTGTCTTCATTTTGGGAATTTAACAGTTAACGTGAAAAGACTTCCACTACAAAACAACGCAACTATAAAACACAGACTGGTTATGTGGATGTTACTAAATGACCATCAGAACCGCCACAGGAAAGACTTGCTAGCTAGAGAACACAATCATTAATGTGTTAATAACTGATATCATAACTGATATTTTGATATCCCAAAACGGGTTATTAAGACTGGGATGTCCAATTTTGATTGCTGCGCAAAATAGTATCTTGTTCTTCTAGAAGAAGAAGAATTTGATTGTGGCTGCAGTAACAGGCATTGCCTGTTGTTGATCTGCTGTTGAATGCACTATTTGTTCAGACAAAGGGGAACTGCTGGATGGCCTTACTGAATATGAGATGTGCGTGAGGGATTTTCTAGATAGATGTAACTTCTTTTTTTAAGTACAAGTTCACAATGTTGTATTAAAACCTTGAAAAGCCCTTAATTGTAATGAAATTTGAATTCAGAAGTTATGTCAAAAGAGTTATATGGAGAGGTGCAACATTTTTTTTTTTATCATTCCAAATAAAATTAGATAGGGATAAAGTCATTGGAGGGCTATTGTTTTACATTGTAAATTAAATCTATGTAAATCACTGTGTATTTAAATCCATTTTTGTACAAATAATCTTTTTGTAAAAAAGGTACATAAATAAAAAAAATGTTCAATAGAGATTTGTTAATTTATATTTATTTTCCCCAAATTAATTAATTAATTAATTTTTGACTGGTTCTTGTGAATGTTACTGAAGTGATTCCTATTTCTTTGCAGCTATCAGCTCATCTTATTTTTATTTGTAGATTCATTCTCAATCTCAGAGTGAAAAATCACAGTCATATCACTGCTTAAGCTGAAATGAAATAACTTAAGGGTAAATTTACAAAGTTTAGGAACTGTTGTGATTATCTGAAGCCTAATTAATTCAGATTAATTGTTCTCATCAGCCAAACCTGACATGATTTCCTTGAAATTATCAAATAAATGTTCAGTTTTCATGTGTTGTTTGTGGTAGACTTTATGCTCCAACAGAACATCTTTTAGCACACACTGAATACTTGTATGCATATGTCCTTTTTTCTGGCAGTGCCATACTACTTGCTTAAGGGTGTGGAAGTGATTGTTGGTTTTGGATACACCACAGATTTTCAAACCAACACCCAAAGTTTTTAAATATTTATCATGCATTTAATAGTAAATTAAATTTTTTTTTTTATCGAAGGCGCTTATACAGTATGTTGTTTGTTTGTCATAACATCACTCTCTGAGGTACTTTTTTTTAACACGGCCTTTCATAACAACAAAAGGGTTTTGTGTTTATTTGGTTTTATTTGTTTTCAGTAGCTCGTTTTGTTTGTATCATTTGTCTTTGAATAGTGTATAGCTTCCAGATATTTCTGTTGTGTGATTTAGCGTGTGCACATTTATTATGATTCCTTGTGTTGTAGAAATCGGGCTTTATCGATTCATTGTGATGAGTTCCATGAGCTAAAAATATGCATATGGAGTTTATTGCTTTAAATTTTTGATCTTATCAGAAATACGCAAATGATTTGTACATTGTACATTTGCTACTTTTATTATCAAAAGTTGCGAATGAATAAAAAGACATTCATTTGAGAAGAACAAACTGTATGAGCTTGGTTATTTGACATTAAATCTTATATACTGTGTCATTTACTTGCATGATAATCTATCTACAGTATAAAGACAATTACTCCTATATATACACTTAGATAGAGTATCAACCATTTGAATAATATACACACGTTAGCTGTAAAATCACTCCGTAGGTTATTATAGCAGAACTATATAGACACTAGTGGTCTATGTCAAATATAAATTTGTCTTTGAAAGAATATAAAATAAAGATTTCAGATTATGCATTGCTTTGAAGTGAACTGTAAAGGAAAAAGTGTTTTGCAGTGCTCTCTCTCTCCCCCACAGCATGACAGTTTGTATCTGTGCACAGTAGTTTTCCACTGACAGCTTCCATTTATTTTGCATTCAAATGCATGTTAGGAATGGAGGTCACTGAGTGGAAAACTTTCTTGAGGATGAAAATGCGTAGGTGAATAAATGTTTTGAGCTAACCTCCATCTTGCACCTTTGTTTGGCAAAGCCCTGCAGGTTATTAGGGTGTGTCAGTACTCTATTTGATGTTTCTAAGAAATATAAAAAACTGGAACAATGTTCCAAGAATCTGTTTGGACAACGTTCAAAATACATGAAAATCACAATCTAAATGCAGCGAGCTCTTCAAACTGAGCCGATGCATGTAGATCCTGTGGCTTGGTGTTTCACCTGCATTGGAGATTCAACAATACTGGTCAAATTTAAGGGATAGTCTTGTCTAACCTGAGTCTAGCGCTAATAAGGACAAATTCTCTATCCATATCTGGTTTGAACTTACTACTTGTCCATGAGCAAAAAAAAAACAAAACCCAAAGTATTATGACAGGACTGTTGGACTTGAAACTGATGTCTAATGAGTAGTACTGGGCAGTCTGATTGCATCTATTCAACAGGCGATATTTTACCTCTTCCGTACCACTCAGCCTAACAGCATCTTATCAGATATAGAGCTATTCTATATGAAAACTTATACTCTTTTATTTGCTCCACTGTTTGGTAAATTTTACTATGACCTCTTTTCTACCTCTGTATTTCCTCCTGAGGCTGGTGCTGCTACTACAGACAGTGGAAAAGTACTGGCAAAACAATACCGTGGGCTGCTCTTTGTTCATTGTTGCAGCAGGAGAGCAACAGTGAAAAACAAATCTATTTCAGCATGTATTAGACATGCACATTTGGACTGACCTCTTCATTTTTACAACTAAAGGTCATAGCTATGTGAATTGCACTCATAGCAGAATACGTCACTCCAGTTAATGACCAATTTAAATAAGAGAATGCACTTTGCATGCAAATAAGGTGCAAGCAAGGGTGATTGTTAGTAACTGTAATTCAGAAAGCATATTTTAAAGTCTATGTAAAGGCAATTTAGCAAATTGTTTCTAAACACAAGTGTTAGAAATGTATTGCTGAAAACGCGTTACAAAGAATGTGAATGATGTCATAATGAATTGTGGAGTTAGAACGTTAAATAGTTTTTCACCATTTTTGTGTTCATGGGCCTGAAATCATGGCTAGGTGATGCACTGGAGCTACTAATCATGGCCCTTCCCCTTAGGCCTTTCAAACCTTTCAGGTTTGAAAATGAGAGGCGCACAGCACAGCCTTTTTTTGGTTGACTTTTTTTTAATTTAGAAAAGAGCACTGTGTTTTTTTTTCATGTTGCAGGAAACTGTCATGTTAGCAGAAACTAACAATACAGCAACCCACTACAGCCACCACAAGTTTCTCCATCATTGCAGTCTCCAGACATTCCCAGCAACTGTAAACTTCCGTCACCACAACAGAAGGCCTGCCTCTCCATTCATTTGATTGGACAATGGAAAAAAACGCGAATGGCGTTGCGGCTTTTCTGCTCAGAGTTGATTTTTTTTCAGCTTCAGGCGCTCAGAATGCTCCTACAAAAACAGGAGACCCAGGAGCGTAGGTTACGTGGGGGACGTGTCCCCCCCCACTTTTAATATCACGTAAATTCATCCCCCACACTTTTTCGGGTAAGTGTGTTCGCATAGAGGTCTTCAAGAGCCCGTGTGAATAAATATAGATTTAAATTCAAAGAGACAGGATAGTCTGTGCATGATCTGATGTTTTATTCGGACCCAGAATAAGGCGAGATGAACATCACGGAGCGCTAAACATTCCGTGCAGTGTATGTTTCATTCATACTTGTAGCCGGAGGGCGCCCTCACGCAGAAAGCTGAATGAGGAAATTCCTAATATGGACAAAAACAGTTGTTTTCAGAAAAACAGAAACATTTGGAAACATGAAGACATTAAACATACGATTGCGACAATATGGTTTATTTGTGTTTGTCGTCAAGTCATCTCCAGGTAATAAATAAAGGAAATGAACAATGCAGTGCTAACTGACATAGCATTTATTACAGTATTGAAACTATTCTGCCTTATTATGTGATAAAAACTATCCATATCTGGTTTGAACTTACTACTTGTCCATGAGCAAAAAAAAAACAAAACCCAAAGTATTATGACAGGACTGTTGGACTTGAAACTGATGTCTAATGAGTAGTACTGGGCAGTCTGATTGCATCTATTCAACAGGCGATATTTTACCTCTTCCGTACCACTCAGCCTAACAGCATCTTATCAGATATAGAGCTATTCTATATGAAAACTTATACTCTTTTATTTGCTCCACTGTTTGGTAAATTTTACTATGACCTCTTTTCTACCTCTGTATTTCCTCCTGAGGCTGGTGCTGCTACTACAGACAGTGGAAAAGTACTGGCAAAACAATACCGTGGGCTGCTCTTTGTTCATTGTTGCAGCAGGAGAGCAACAGTGAAAAACAAATCTATTTCAGCATGTATTAGACATGCACATTTGGACTGACCTCTTCATTTTTACAACTAAAGGTCATAGCTATGTGAATTGCACTCATAGCAGAATACGTCACTCCAGTTAATGACCAATTTAAATAAGAGAATGCACTTTGCATGCAAATAAGGTGCAAGCAAGGGTGATTGTTAGTAACTGTAATTCAGAAAGCATATTTTAAAGTCTATGTAAAGGCAATTTAGCAAATTGTTTCTAAACACAAGTGTTAGAAATGTATTGCTGAAAACGCGTTACAAAGAATGTGAATGATGTCATAATGAATTGTGGAGTTAGAACGTTAAATAGTTTTTCACCATTTTTGTGTTCATGGGCCTGAAATCATGGCTAGGTGATGCACTGGAGCTACTAATCATGGCCCTTCCCCTTAGGCCTTTCAAACCTTTCAGGTTTGAAAATGAGAGGCGCACAGCACAGCCTTTTTTTGGTTGACTTTTTTTTAATTTAGAAAAGAGCACTGTGTTTTTTTTTCATGTTGCAGGAAACTGTCATGTTAGCAGAAACTAACAATACAGCAACCCACTACAGCCACCACAAGTTTCTCCATCATTGCAGTCTCCAGACATTCCCAGCAACTGTAAACTTCCGTCACCACAACAGAAGGCCTGCCTCTCCATTCATTTGATTGGACAATGGAAAAAAACGCGAATGGCGTTGCGGCTTTTCTGCTCAGAGTTGATTTTTTTTCAGCTTCAGGCGCTCAGAATGCTCCTACAAAAACAGGAGACCCAGGAGCGTAGGTTACGTGGGGGACGTGTCCCCCCCCACTTTTAATATCACGTAAATTCATCCCCCACACTTTTTCGGGTAAGTGTGTTCGCATAGAGGTCTTCAAGAGCCCGTGTGAATAAATATAGATTTAAATTCAAAGAGACAGGATAGTCTGTGCATGATCTGATGTTTTATTCGGACCCAGAATAAGGCGAGATGAACATCACGGAGCGCTAAACATTCCGTGCAGTGTATGTTTCATTCATACTTGTAGCCGGAGGGCGCCCTCACGCAGAAAGCTGAATGAGGAAATTCCTAATATGGACAAAAACAGTTGTTTTCAGAAAAACAGAAACATTTGGAAACATGAAGACATTAAACATACGATTGCGACAATATGGTTTATTTGT